CCCAGAACCACCCTTCCAGCAGGGCATTGTCAGGAGAGCGGCAGGCCTCCTCTGCCAGCGCTTTTCTGCACGCTTCCTTCTAGAGTTGCTGCGAGGGTTAAATGAGACTATCCACACAGAGCACTTGGCTCTGCAGTCAGCTACGTGGAGTACTTAATACATGTTAGTAAATTTGTCCTGACAAAGTGCTCATGGAGCTGGGAGGACCTTTCTAGGATGTCCCATCCCCTCTGTTTTACAGCTGAGAAACCTGAGCCCCTGGTGACACCCAGTACTGTTTTGGGTTAGGAAGAAGTGAGGACGTCCCCATTTTAAAGGGAGAGATTTCCAGAGCTACACCCTCTTCTTGAGCAGACAAACCAGAGCCTCAGAGAGATAAGGTAGGAAGCTTAGACAAGCTTGGCTCGGGAATAGCTCTGGCAGCAGTGTGTCTGGAATTTAAAAAGAGATTAGATCTCGTCATTTGAAAGACTCTGATTCTTTTCATGTCAGAGGGTTTCATCTTGTGGTTTTAGTCCATGAAACCCGATAATGCATATGTTATAGTCTTTACTCAGGCCTGTGACAAACTGACATTAGGGGAACTGACCCAGCTCTAATTTGCATTGATAGGATGTTACCATTTTGTATACTTTGGAAGGATGAACAGGCAAAGTGCTTGGTTTCTTTTCTTTTCCTTTTTTTTTGTTTTTTTTTTTTTTTTGTTTGTTTGTTTGTTTGTTTTGTTTTTGAACAGCGTTTATCATTCAGGTGAGAGTGAAAGAGGAAGAGTTGATTTTTTTTTCCTAGTCCTTTCAAATAAACAAATCCTAGATTTGTTTCACAGATAGCAGAGTTCTCTATAAAGAGGTTTTTCTGTGCATTGAATCAGGATAGAAACATAGGTCTATAAAGCTGCATTACAAATTCTTTATAGAGAGACCAGCTTTCTCAAAGATTTTTGTTTGCCAAAATTTACCTGTAAATTCAAAATGGGTTTGTAATGCATTCCATCTCCAAATTCAGAATCATGTCTGTTGTTTTTCTGTTTTTTTTTTTTAAAGATTTATTTATGGATTGATTTTTTGAAAGGCACAGTTACAGAGAGGCAGAGGCAGAGAAAGAGAGAGGTCTTCCATCCACTGTTCACTCCCCAAGATGGCCACATGGCTGGAGCTGAGCCAGTGGGAGCCAGGAGCTTCTTCCAGGTCTCCCAGGTGTGTGCAGAGGCCCAAGGACTCAGGCCATCTTCCAGTGCTTTCCTAGGCTATAGCAGAGAGCTGGATCGGAAGTGGAGCAGCCAGGACTCAAACTGGTGCCCATAAGGAATGCAGGCACTGCATTTACCCACTGCGCCACAGTGCTGGCCTGTTGTTTTTCTAAATAAGCTTTTTTTTGGTAACAGCTCTATTGAGGTATAATTCACATACTGTCCATTCACATGTTTTTCTTTTTAAAAATTCTGTGTATAGCAGCAGTTTTTATTTATTTGAAAGGCAGAAAGAGAGAGAGAGAGAGAGAAATGTTTGTGAGAGAGAAAAGGAGAGCTTCTGTCTGCTGGTTCACTCCCCAGTGGAACTGGCCCAGGCTGAAACTAGGAGCCAGGAACTCATTCCAGGTGTCCTACGTGGGTGCCAAGGTCCTAATTCCTTGAGCCGTCACGTGATACTCCAAGGGTGTGTATTAGCATGAAGCTGGATTCGGAGTGGAGCTGAGATTTGAGCTCTGATAGCAGAACATGGGGGATCTGTTCTCCTTTTTTTTTTTTTTTTAAGTGTGTTTTTGTTTGTTTAGTTTTTTATTTACTTGAAAGAGAAGCGGGAGGGAGAGAGAGAAGAGAGAGATCTTCAATTGGTTCACTCCCTAAGTGCCTGTCACAGTAGAGGCTGGGCCAGGCTGAAGCAGGAGGTCAGAACTCCATCAAGATCTGCTGTGTGGTTGGCAGGGGCCTGAGCACCTAGGCCATCATCTGCTGCCTCCCAGAGTCTAACCTGTCTTTAATCTGCAGGAAGCCCCTTGCTGCAGGCTGGTGGAAAATTCTACCTCAGTCGTTGCAGAAGTTCCCTCTTGTTCACTAAAAGATCATACCAGAGTTCCACAGTCCCATGTTTCTTAACTCCTGGTGTCGACTTTGCACCTCTCATCCATTCCACGTGTGCTGCATGGGTGGTCGGTCATGTGGCCTTGGGTAGCAGATAGCTGAGTTCCACAAAGCACTGCCTTTTTCTTGGATTGGTTTTTACATCCTCTGCTTAAAATATTTCCCTCTTTCCATTCTATCTTAGAACAGCTTAGCATAACCCTCCCCAGTGTGCCCCTTTGAAACACTGTGATAGGTTCTTCTTTCTATGCTAGGAATGGGGAGAATCAGTTAAGTAGTGTTCTTTTTTTTTTAAATAACTTCTCTGGTATGGTGAGTTATCGTGCTCTATTTGCAGTTTTGACTAATGCATTCTTCATGTCATGTTTAATATATCTAGAGTGTTCCATAGAGATGCATGATTTACATGTAGATAACGTGAAATAGCAGCTGAGTGCACAAAGCATTTGATGTGTTTTAGATAGATTCTGGAAGTGGGATTTCAGAGTCAAAGGACATGACTGTTTTGGACTGTTGCCAGATCATGCTTTATTAGCATTCTGTTACTATGTAACACAAATTTAGCAGCTTCAAACAACACTCATTTGTTAGCTGATAGTTCTGTAGGTCAGCAGTCTAGGCAGGGCATGGCTGGTTTCTTTGTTCAGCAGCTCAGAGGCTGAAACCAAGGCAGCTGCCAGCCGTGTTCTCATCTGGAGGCCTCACTTATGGCAGATCCATTTCCCAACTCATTCAGGTTGTTGACAAAATCCGTTTCTTAGGGCTTATAAGACTGAGATTCCTGTTTTCTTTCTGGCTGTTATTTAAGGGTTGTTTGGCTTCTCGAGGCCACTCTGAGTCCTTATTGTGCAGGCCTCGCCTTCACAGCTGGCAGTGAGGAATCCTCTCTACTTTGGATCCCTTCCCTTCCAGTCTCTGACTAGAGTAGGCTTTATTTAATTATTTATAGAATTGATTAGGTTAGGTCTATCATGCTCCTTCCTCTCAACTCTTCGTCATCCCAGATATAAATACTGAAACACTGTACCCATTAAATAATAACTCTCCGTTTTCTTCCCTACCCCATCCCCTGGCAACCCGTATTCTACTTTCTGTTATTATGAATTTGTCTGTTTTCAGGTGGAATAATGCAATATTTGTTCTTTTGTTTTTGACATTTGTCACTTAGCATAATTTTTTTTTTTAATTTATTTACTTGAACATCAGAGTTACAGAGAGAGAGAGAGAGAAACAGAAAGAGAGATCTTCTATCCCGCTAGTTCACTCCCTAGATGGCCACAACAGCCAGGGCTGGGCAGGCCAAAACCAGGAGCCAAAAGGCTCATCCAGTTCTTCCACGTGGGTGTCAGGGGCCCAAACACGTGGGCCATCTGCTGCTGCTTTTCCCAGGTCATTAGCAGGGAGCTGGATCTGAACTGAAGCATCTGGGACACAAACAGGCACCTATATGCGATGCCAGCGTCACAGGTGGTGGTTTTACCCACTGTACCACAATGCCAGCTCCAGCATAATGGTTTTAAGGTTTGTTCAAGTACTGGTATGGATCAGAATTTCCTTCCCTTTTAAGGCTAAGTAATACTCCATTCATGTCTGTATCACATTTTGTTCATCCATTCATCCATCCATGTTCATTTGGGTTGTTTCAAGCCTCTCTGTCTTAAGGTCAGCTGCTTTGGGACCTTAGTTATAGGTAGAAAATCCCGTCATAGCAGCACCCAGATTAGTGTTTGGCTAGTGTTGAGTAGCAGGGAAAGGGTGTGTTCACCAAGGGACCAGACTCTGGGAGCCATTGTGGAATTCTGCTCCCCTACCCCCAATACCCTCTAGAAAGATGATTGTTATAGGAGGCATCTTGCTCTCTTTCAGCTCATTAATCTATAAATTACACAGGAGAGTTCTGGAAATGACATCTCATTGTATTGGCTGCCTTTCCAGCTGGGCTTTTCTCTGCTCACGACTCCAGTACAATGAAGGATACACATTAATTATTTCGCAGTATCTGGGGAGACAGCTTTGGCTTCTTGTCCCCCCATTTTAGCAATGACCTGTTTGTTGAGGGTTGACAAGTGTGAGAAACCCATTAGTAAAGCCAGTGAAGGTAAGAGAAAGAATTTCTCATCTCTATTTATGATTTGTGATTGTAACACCGTGTATCAAATGGATTCTTTGTTGATACTCTTTTGGAAAGAACTTGGAGCATTTGGTAACCAAACAATGGCACAGGCTGTTTCATGAGAATGCCCTGAGAATGCATGAGGAATTTAACTTGTCCAAATGAAGAAAATTGAGGGTTGTGACTGCCAAAATTAAAATCAACCTCATACCTCAGCCTGAATGCAAATTTAGCTGACTCGCTGCAGTCTTTTGGGAATTAAACACTGGCTCCCAATAAGATGGTACTCCCTAGGAATTAGGAGTCCTAGGGAATTGAAACCAGTAATATGTGTTAGGTATGTCAGATTGAATGTAAACTGGCATCTCAATAACAAAGGTATCACCGTGGATTCAGTGGGGATCGTGTTTGCATGGAACCAGCTGCCATGTGGTTGGGGGGGCGGTCCGTGTCCCTTAGAAAGGTGTCGCTGTGTTGTGTGTGTGGAGGGGGATGTCTCACATTGAGTTTCCTTTGGTAGAAGCTCTGAGTGCATAGGGGCTGCTGCTTGCTCTGAGCTAGTTTGACTCCCCCAGAGCCCCAGAACTCAGTTTAGAACACACCAGCTTGTGTGTCGTCTTGGAGCCAGGGTAACAGCAACAGTTGTGCTGTCAAAAGTGCGCCTGAGGTTTGGGTGGAAGCTAGAAGGGGATGATACCTGCTAGCTGGTGACTACCTAGGAGAAGGGAGGAGCCTGAGTCAGAGAGCCTTGGCCTCTTCCTTCCAAGCTGGGTTTGGGGTGGGACTGACTCTGTCTCTCTCCCATAGGCGACGGCAATGTCTGTGGACTGTCTTGGGCAGCATGCCGTGCTTTCTGGGTAAGTGAGCTTTCGAAGTTTGTCTGCCATGATTTGTGGGAAACAAATTTAAAACTGAGAGGTCTCTGGGAACTTAGAAAGTATTCTTATATTTAAGGATTATGGTTATTGAGTTTAGTCTGATATCCCGTTGACCTCAGGAGTACACGTAGGGATTGTTTGCAGTTGATTTTTGTCTCTGTCCTAAGAGGTAAGCAGTAAAATTCCCTTGAAATTCTAGTGATCAGTATTTTGGTCTTTTTTTTTTTTTAAGATTTATTTATTTATTTGAGAGGCAGAGTTACAGATAGAGGGAGAGACGGAGAGAGGGAGAGGTCTTCCAAATGACTGCAACAGCAGGAGCTGGGCCAGCTGATTCCAGGAGCCAGGAGTTTCTCTGGGTCTCTCACGTGGGTGCAGGGGCCTATGTACTTGGGCCATCTTCCACTGCTTTTCCAGGCCACTAGCAAGGAGCTGGGAAGTGGAGCAGCTGGGACTTGAACTGACCCCATAAAGGATGCTGACACTGATTTATTTATTTTGAAAGCCAGAGTTACAGAGGTGGGAGAGAGACCGAGATCTTCTATCTGCTGGTTTACTCCCCAGGTGGCTGCAATGGCCACCACTAGGCCAGGCCAAAGCTGGGGTCTTCCTCTGGGTCTCCCAGGTGGGTGCAGGTGCCCAAACACTTGAGCCATCTTCTGCTGCTTTTTCCGAGCCAATAGCAGGGTGCTAGATAGGAAATGGAGCAGGCAAGACCTGAACTGGTGCTCATATGGGATGCCGACATCGCAGGCAGTGGCTTTACCTGTTAAGCCATAGCTTTGGCACTCTCTTCTGGTCTTTTTGTCCTTGTGGTTTCCACTCTATAGAACTTTAACTTTTGTTTCCAACCCTCTGTCAAGTTTTTTTTTAGATTTCAAGACTAAAAAAAATGAACTATTATTCTTAAATTAATTTTATTTTTAAAAAGCATTTATTTATTTGAAAGACAGAGTTACAGAGAGGCAGAGGCAGAGAGAGAAAGAGGTCTTCCATCTGCTGGTTCACTCCCCAGATGGTCCATTTTCCAGTGCTTTCCCAGGCCATAGCAGAGAGCTAGATCAGAAGTGGAACAGCCAGGACTTGAACCGCATCCATATAGGATGCTGGCACTGGAGGCAGTGGCTTTACCCACTACGCCACAGAGCTGGCCCAATGAACTATTATTTTATTGTTTACAGTATCTTTTCTCTTAATTCTGTGAACATGACTCCAGCTTGTTCATTTCCTCTATATTTTGTCTATTTGCTTTGAGTTCCTTTTTTCTTTCGATGATGTGGGTCTCCATCTTTCAGGTTTCCTTCAGTGGCTGAGATCCCTGGCTCTCTGTTGATTTTATTTTATCATTATTATTTTTTTAATTTACTTATTTATTTATTTTAAAGGCAGAGTTATGGGAGCCAGGGGAGAGAGAATGAATCTTCATCTGCTGGTTCCCTCCCCAGATGGCTGCAATGGTTGGGGCTGGGCCAGGCCAAAGCTAGGAGCCAGAGCTTCTTCCAAGTTTCCCATGTTACTAGTAGAAGGGCCAAACACTTGGGCCATCTTCTGCTGCTTTTTTCAGGCCATTAGCAGGGAGCTGGATTGAAAGTGGAGCAAGTGGGACATGAACCAGTGCCCATATGGGATGCTGGCATTGCAGGCGGCAGTTTTACCTGCTATGCCACAACACCTACCCCATCTCTGTTGACTTTAAGAATGATGATGGAATCTCCTTTCTGTGGGCAGATGCTGCCGTTAACTTCAGGGAGATCAGGTGTGACTCAAGCCCCCTCTTACTTGTGGAAGCCCAAATGTTGTTATCTCTTTCTTATTTGTTTGTTTGCTGTTCTCTCTCTCTTTTTTTTCCTAGACTGGTCATTTTATCCTGAAATCTAAAGAAAAAAAAAAAGAAAGAAAAGGCAGGGAGGGAGGCCGGGGCCTTACGTTTTACTTCTGGCCAGTTTTGAGTAGCGTCGGTTGTGCCATCTGCTGTGCTTCCTGTCCCAGGCCTGGGGCTTCTCTCGGGAGTAACGGCACCCACTGCAGTGAAGGAGAAGTGCTATGGGGCTTGGTGGGGAACACAAAAACCACGCTCCTTGATGTTCTTTCAAACGGTTTTCCTTTTTTTGTCCTCTTTTGCTTTTTGTCTTCCAGCTTTCCCTTACTCGCCTGAGGACAAGGCTGCAGTTACTGAGCCGCAGCAGGCCCTGCAGCGGGACCACTTGGCCTCCCGTTCACGTCCCTCCATGTGCTTGGACTTTATGTAGTTTTCCTGATGACCTCAGTTGCCAGTTATCCATCTACTTTTCATTCTCTCATTTTCTTTGTCTTTGTTAGTTTCTGTCTTCTTAAAAATGTCTTTTTTCAGAGGGGCTTTAGGAGGGATGAAGATAAACATGTATGTTCAATCGAGGCTGGCGCTGTGGCTCAATAGGCCAATCCTCCGCCTGTGGCGCCAGCACACCGGGTTCGGGGCGCCGGATTCTGTCCTGGTTGCTCCTCTTCCAGGCCAGCTCTCTGCTGTGGCCCGGGAGTGCAGTGGAGGATGGCCCAAGTGCTTGGGCCCTGCACCCTCATGGGAGACCAGGAGAAGCACCTGGCTCCTGGCTTCAGATCAGCGCGGTGTGCCGACTACAGCGCACTGGCTGCAGCAGCCGTTGCAGGGTGAACCAACGGAAAAGGAAGACCTATCTCTCTCTCTCTATCATTGTCCACTCTGCCTGTCAAAAAAAAAAAAAAAAAAGTATGTTCAATCAGACATGTTCATCCCTTAGTGTCCATTTAATGCTGTTCTGCATTTGCTCTGTAATACTTCTGAACCCTGAGTGATACACACCCCATATGTGTAGCTTTAAGTGCGGTACTGTTTTTCTTTCTGATGTGAAGACCCCGGCCTGCCCACCACAGGGCTAGGTGATTCCTTTGGAGGAGGCCAGACCTACTAGATCTTTGTTCTATGCTAGCTGTCTTACAAGTTCAGGGAAATTGAGTATTCCCTGAGATTGTCTTCCTGTTTTTTTTTTGTGTTTTTTTTTTTTTTTTAAGATTTGTTTTACTTATTTGAGTTACAGAGACAGAGGTCTTCCATCTGCTGGTTTACTCCCCAAATGGGTCCCAAGGCTGGACCTGAGCTGATCCAAATCCAGGAGCCAGGAGCTTCTTCTGGGTCTCTGACGTGGGTTCAGGGGCCCAAGCACTTGGGCCGTCCTCCACTGCTTTCCCAGGCTCAATAGGAGGGAGCTGGGTCAGAAGTGGAGCAAACTGGCACCCATATGGGGTGTTGGCAGTACAGGCTAGGGCTTTAACCTGCTGCTGCCACAGCGCCAGCCTCCTTCCTGTTTCTTAACCAACCCTCCTTAGTGTTTCTCCTAACCTACAGTTTTGCATAGGATTTCCTGAATCTTCTGAGCAGGAATTATTTTTCTTTTGTGGGCCTACCTGTGTTCATTGAGATCCTGGAGCTCAGAAGGCCCCCAGCACAGAATCTGGCAGATGGCCGCAGGGATGGTGTCACACAACAAAGATCCTTCCCAGTTTCAGATCCTTTATATTGACTGGTTGGCACCTTGAACGTTATGGTGCTTCATATGTTATTTTGATTATTTATTCATATTTTGGACTTAGTTTCTTTTCAGAGTTGACGTGCAGGAGAATTTGAGATTTGTCTATAGGATTTGACTCAACGATAAGTTTTGTTTAGCACACATTTACTGAGTGGGGAACACTGTGCCTAGTGATGTAGGGCAAATAAAGATGTTCAAGACCTGTTCCGTACCCCAGGCACTCAGCTGAATTGGGACAAGAACTATTGCATTGGTAATGCTGCCACAGAGGTAAATGCTGCGGGTGAGATGCCAACTGTGCAGTGAGGGTACTTTGGAAACGGAGATAAGTCCCACTGGAGGGCTGGAGAGCAGCCGGCTAGAGCTGGATCTCAGGGCAGAGGTCAGACTCATGGTTGGATGTGGTAGGGAAGGCCATCGCCGGAGGTAGATGCTCACAGAGATACCTCTCCCTTTACCCAGCAGCCAACTTGAGTTAACTGTTGTCACTTGTGTGTCTTTCAGAGGAGATAGACATCATGAGTAGCTAAGGGTTTTTGGAGCACTGCTTACAAACTGATGGCGGTTCCAAATGCTCTGGCTATCTTAATGTTAATGCTGTCATTTGCCACAGGATTATTGTAATGTTGATGTTGTTCTCCTAGCCGCAGATTCCTATACATCGTCAATCTAGATGCCCCCTTCGAAGGTCACCGAAAGATCTCTCGTCAGAGCAAATGGGACATCGGAGCCGTGCAGTGGAATCCTCATGACAGCTTTGCGCACTATTTTGCAGCTTCGGTGAGCTCAAGGAGTCTAGCACAATGCTTTCTAATGTGCCATCTGGGGCTGGGAAGTCTATGTCCCATGTAAGGAAGAGAATGTATTCCTCATTGCTCAATCAGAAAAGAGGTTTGGATGATTTTCCAAGAAAGACAGGAGGCAAGTTACAGGTTAAATATCTGTAGTGATGTTTGCCAGCCCCGTCTGTGTCAGGCCTTGTATTTCTTGGGACTGAATCTGGATTTTGAAAGGGAAAAGCAGGGACCGGCACTGTGGCATAGCAGGTAAAGCCACCGCCTGCAGTGCCAGCATCCCATATGGGTGCCAGTTCAAGTCCTGGCTGCTCCACTTCCTATCTAGCTCTCTGCTATGGCCTGGGAAAGCAGTAGAAGATGGCCCAAGCCCTTGGGCCCCTGCACCTGCATGGGAGATTGGGAAGAAGCTCCTGGCTCCTGACTTCAGATTGGTGCAGCTCCAGCCATTGTGGCCAATTGGGGAGTGAACCAGCAGATGGAAAACCTTTCTCCCTGCCTCCCCCCAACCCTGCTTCTCCTTCTCTTTCTGTGTAACAAGACTTTCAAGTAAAATAAATAAATCTTAAAAAAAAAAAAAACAAAAAACAGGAAAAAGCAGGTGGATAGCTCCATTTCTGTTTGTTGTCAGAGTAGCAGTGTAACTGGGTGGTGCCAGATGGCACAGAGTTCTAAGTGACTGGTAGCTGGTCTGGATTTTGCCTCCATTGCTTTGAGGGAACCACCTTCCAGTCAAAGTCAGGGGTTCTTCCGTGTCGGGGATTCATTGATTCATCCCTCGCATTTCATGTTCCTGTTTATGTATGACTTTTTTCAGGGAAGAGTAAGTTTTATTTGGGGATTCATGACTCAAAAGATCTGGCTGAGTCCATCTCTGGACTTGGTATGGATTCTGTTTCACCCTTCTTCTCTCCTACACAGAGATCTAAGCCTTCTGCCCCTTTTGTTCTGGGCTGCCAGCAGAGTGTTTACAAGAGTCTTCTTGCTAACCGGGGCTGGGGCCTCCTGCAGTCCCTTTCAGGAGTGACAGCTTGGGAGGAAAGCACCTGAGCAGAGGAGAGCCTCACTGTCAGCCTGAGGAGGAGCAGAAAGTCACTCTTCCCTGTCGTCCAGAACAGAGTGTGATTTTAACGATGGGTGTCCGGGATTTTTCTGAAAGAAGACAGTCTAGGAGAGTTCGTCTTTTCCATCCGCAGTGTCTTTCCTGGATGTTGGAAGAGTACCCTTTCTGTTGGCTTACACCTCTGGGCTCCTTAGTTCCTCTCTCACCCTCAGCCCTGATCAGCTAGTCCAGTGTTTCTCTATTTTGGACTGTTGGTACATGAGCCAGGTAATTCTCTCTGGTAGGGGACTAGTCTGTGCATTGTAAGATCATGAACAGCAGCCTCAGCTCCTGCCTATTTGACCTCAATAGTGTCTTTCCCTCCCTTTTCAGGTGAAAACCAAACATGTCTTTAGGCATTTTCAGATGTTCTCTGGGAAGCAAAATGGCCCCTGAGTGGGAATCACTGATTTGGGCTGACTCATCTGTACTTTGTCTAGGTGGATTAATGTTGCATTTGTTCAGGAGTGGTAAGGAAGAGAACCTTTCGTGTTTGTTTGTTGACAGTTTTAGTAGTCCTCTTATCCATGGGGGATATGTTACATGGTGAAACTGGATACTGCCAAACCTCATATACACTGCTTTTTCCTGTATGCACCTTAATAAAGCTTAATTTATATATCAAACAGCATAAGAAATGAACAACAGTAGCTAACACTGAGATAGAATGATTATTAACAAAATATTGTAGTAAAAGTTAGGTGAGTATGAGCTTTCTATTAAAATACTTTTCTGTGCTTTCCCCTTTTTACTGAAAGGAAGCACTGTACAGCGTCTTCTTGGCATATCCAAGTTACCAGCATCACAACTCTTGCTCTTTGGAACCGTTATTAAGTAAAGTAAGGGCTACTCTGGCACTAGTACTATGATCAAGCACTGTGATTCCGTGGTACTACTCAAGATGGTGCGCAGTTTAAAACATGACTTGTTTATCTCTGAAGTTTTCTATTTATTATTTTTGGGCAGTGGTTGACTGTCATTGGAACCATGGAAAGTGAAATCCTGGATAAGGGAGGACTGTTGTAATCATTCTGAAATGAATGAGTGCTTGAGTTCAAGTTTTGGCTCCACTCCCAGTTCCATTTTTCTGCTAATGCACACTATCTTCAGAGAGAGCAGGTGATGGCTCAAGTAGTTGGGTCCCTACCACCCATGTGGGAAACCTGGACTGAGTACCCAGCTTTTGGCTTCAACCAGGCTCCTGTGGGCCTTTGGGGAGTAAACCAGTGGATAGGAACTCTATCAAGTATCTTTCTGTGTCTCTCTGCTTCTCAAATGTAAGTAAATAATTTTAAATGAGGGGCTAGCACTGTGGCGCAGTGGGTTAACGCCCTGGCCTGAAGAGCCGGTATCCCATATGGGATACCGGTTCTAGTCCCGGCTGCTCCGCTTCTGATCCAGCTCTCTGCTATGGCCTGGGAAAGCAGTAGAAGATGGCCCAAGTTCTTGGGCCCCTGCACCCGCATGGGAGACCTGGAAGAAGCTCCTGGCTCCTAGCTTTGGATTGGAGCAGTTCCTTCCGGCCATTGCGGCCAATTAGGGAGTGAACCATTGGATGGAAGACCTCTCTCTCTCTCTCTCTCTCCCTCTCCCTCTCCCTCTCTTCTCTCTGTGTAACTCTGACTTGCAAATAAATAAATAAATCTTTTTAAAAAAATAATTTTAAATGAAGTAAATACATTTAAAATTAATGATTCAGTGTTCTGGACTACAATCACAATGTTGCGTAACTACCACATCACTGCAGAGTAAAACCCAATCCCATTAAGCAGTTTATCCCCATTTCCCCCTCCTTCTAGCCATCAGTTTTCCTTCTATCTCAACGGATTTATCTATTTTGGATTTTTCATTAAAGTGGAATCATACAGTAAATGCTCTTTTGTATCTGGCTTTTTTCTTAACATAATGTTTTGGAATTCATCCATATTATAGCATATTTCAGAAAATTATTCCTTCTTGTGACTGAATGATGTTCCATCTAAGTGTATGCCATGTTTTGTTCATGTGTCCGTCCTTCCAGCGACTGGCTGTTTGAATAGTGCTGATGTGAACTTAGCTGTGAATGTGTCTGTCTTCAGTTCTGAGTGAACTCATTTCCTGGCAGTGGAATTGCAGGGTTGTATGACAATTCTAGTTCACCTTTCTGAGGGAACCACCAAATTGCAACAGCAGGTAAATTGTTTTAGATTCCCATCAACGCTGCACAGGGGTTTCACTTTTTACATACCCTTGCCAGCCTTTGTTATTTTCTGTCTTTATTTACGGCTATCCCAGTGGGTAAAGAAGTTTAACCTTTTTTTTTTTTTTTTTTTTTTTTTTTTTTTTTTGACAGGCAGAGTGGACAGTGAGAGAGAGAGACAGAGAGAAAGGTCTTCCTTTGCCGTTGGTTCACCCTCCAATGGCCGCCGCGGCCGGCGCGCTGATCCGATGGCAGGAGCCAGGAGCCAGGTGCTTTTCCTGGTCTCCCATGGGGTGCAGGGCCCAAGCACCTGGGCCATCCTCCACTGCACTCCCTGGCCACAGCAGAGGGCTGGCCTGGAAGAGGGGCAACCGGGACAGAATCCGGCGCCCCGACCGGGACTAGAACCCGGTGTGCCGGCGCCGCTAGGCGGAGGATTAGCCTAGTGAGCCGCGGCGCCGGCCAAGAAGTTTAACCTTTATGGTTCTGTAATAACTGGGGCTGGTGTTGTGGCAGGGTTGAGAATTTATCTTTTCATTCCTATTTCCATTGGAAAATATTTTTTTTAAGTTTTATTTATTTGTTTGAAAGGCAGAGTTACAGAGATAGATCTTCCATCTGCTGGTTCATTCCCAAAATGGCCACAATGGCAAGGCTGAAGCTTCTTCTGGGTCTTCCATATGGGTGCAGAGTCCCAACCACTTGGGCCATTTTCTGCTGCTTTCCCAGGCATGTCAGCAGGGAGCTGGATTGGAAGTGGAGCAGCTGAGACTCAGACTGGCATCCATATGGGATGCCGGCGCTGTAGGCCATGGCCCTAACCCGCTGCTCCACAGAGCTGACCCCGTAATCTTGGAACTTTATAAATCTGCTCATCACTGAACTAAAATGAAAATCAGTCTACTATGTATTCCCAGTCTATTAGCAGTCTTTTTTTTTTTTTTTAAATTTGAGATCATAGAGACATACACAGAAAGAGTATCAGAGCTCACCCTGCCTCCATCTGCTATTTCATTCTCCAAATGCTGACAACAGCTGTTGTCGAGCCAAACTACAATCGAGGTCGGACAAGGCAGGAACCCAGTTACATGAACCATCACCACTGCCTCTCAGGGTCTATATTAGTAGGAAGTTAAGAGTCAGGAGCCACAACTGGGAATCAAACCTAGGCATGTCTTTCCTGCTCAGCTAAACATCTGCTTCCTTTTCGTATTCTTTATTTACTCTCAATGTGTTTCATAAACTCATGGTGTTTAGGGAGCTGTTTTGTAGTTTCTTTAAATGAAGTTTTCTTTCATGAAACCTTTTTTCTTCTTTAAGATTTATTTATTTATTTGGAAGGCAGGGTTACAGAGAGGCAGAAGCAGAGAGAAAGAGAGAGAGAAAGGAGAGAGAGTGTGTTTTTCATCTACTAGTTCACTCCCCAGATGGCCAGAATGGCTGGAGCTGCACCGATCTGAAGAAAGGAGCCAGGGACTTCCTTCGGGTCTCCCATGCAGGAGCAGGGGCTCAAGGGTTTGGACCATCTTCTACTGATCCTCCAGGCCATAGTGGAGAGCTGGATCGGTAGTGGAGCAGCTGGGACTCGAACTGGCACCCATATGGGATGTCGGCACTGCAGGCAGCAGCTTTACCTGCTGTGCCACAGTGCTGGCCCCTTTTTTTCCTCCTTTGTATTGTTGTTGTGGTTTATCCTGGTCCGTTTTATCTTTGTCTTTTTTTTTTTTTTTTAAGATTTGTTTTATTTTTTTGAAAGAGTTACAGAGAGAGGTAGAGACAGAGAGAGAGAGAGAGGTCTTCCATCCACTGGTTTACTCCCCAAATAGCCATAACAGCCAGAGCTGAGCCAATCCGAAGCTGGGAACTAGGAGCTTCTTCTTGGTCTCCTATGTGGGTGCAGGAGCCTAAGGACTTGATCCATGCTCTGCTGCTTTCCCAGGCACATTAGCAAGGAGCTGGATTGGAAATGGAGCAGCTGGGACTCCAACCAGCACCCTATGGGATGCCAAGGCTGCAGTCCTGGATGTTAACTCACTGCGCCACAGGTCTGGCCCCTTTTTGTCTTTCTGATTAACCCTTTAAGACAAATTTCAGGGGCTGGCACTGTGGCGTAGAAGGTTAAGCCTCCACCTGCAGTGCCACATCCCATACAAGTGCTGGTTTGAATCCCTGCTGCTCCACTTCCAGTCCAACCCCCTGTTAATGTGCCTGGGAGAGCAATGAAAGATGGCTCAAGTGCTTGGGCCCCTGCACCCACTTGAGAGATCTAGAAGAAGCTCCTGGTTCCTGGCTTCAGCCTGGCTCCGCCCTGGCCATTGTGGCCATTTGGGGAATGAACCAGCAGGTGGAAGATCTCTGTCTCTCCTTCTGTCTCTGAATTTCTGACTTTCATATAAAGCAATAAAATCCTATAAAAAAAGATAAAGTTCAAAGAGTCTTAGGTAATTTTGCCTTCTAGAGCACCCGTTTGGTGGCTTCTTTTGTCTTTTTTGTGTGGCTGATTTGAAAGTGTGGTAGGTGGACACTGGGCATTTGATAGTGAGAAGAGTGAGCTGAAACATCTAGTATGACAGTAGCTGGAGATGGAAGTATGTGACCTTCAGACTGGGGAGGGCGGTTCCTCTAGTGGTTGGATTGTCTCCATAGCCCATACAGCACGCGCTCAGCGGTGAATCTGTAGCTTCAGTTCAGCCGTGTCTGTGCGAGGGGGCTTTCTTTTAAGACAGTTCTGTCTTTCCATTTGAAACCCACAGCCCTACCTAATGAGCCGAGGTTAGCTGAAGCTAGTGTTGATTATATGTATTTCTGATGACTTAGAAAAAATTCATCCTGTAGGAACTCTGCCGTGCAAGCTGACTTCTGCCAGGCTGCCTCTTCACAGTAAGCAGAGCAGGGTGAGAGCGTACGTTCTGATGTGTGTGTTATGCCACTTGCTGCCTTTTTCCCCTTGTTTCTTTCCAGAGTAACCAACGAGTTGACCTTTATAAGTGGAAAGACGGTAGTGGGGAAGTGGGCACAACCTTGCAAGGCCATACTCGTGTCATCAGGTAGGACCAGCCCTCCACAGCGCCTTGGCCTGTCTGACTTTTTTTCACAGTTTCCTGGGAGGTGAAATGAAGATGCCATCCTTTTCGCGTGACTTGACCCTCTGTTGCAGTAGGCCGTGGGTGGCCGGTACCTCCTTAGTGTTTGCTGAGCTGATGGCAAAGTACACAGTGAAGAGCAGCTGTTACTTAGGAAGCATTACTTGTGAGCAGTTGACCCCAATCCCAGAGACAAATACAGCCCAGTCCAGAGGAAGGGATTAGAGCTTATTTTTTGCCATAGGAGGGCAAGGAAGTTATGTAACAGAATCTCCCAGTTCATGATCCTCAGTGCCCAAGAGTGCATGGCGACATCAGGAGCGGCCTTTGTGCTCTCCGGCTGTTACCCATGTGCACAGATGCCGCCACTTGGTATTCCAGTTGGCTTCAGGTGTGCCTGGACACACTCTTGCCCTGGATCACTGTTTCTGAGTAGGGAGAATTTTTCTGGGGAGCAGCAGCAGGGATTACAGGGGTTGGGAGAGTGCGGGTTGGGAAGGTCGACATGGAAGTATCAGGAAAGCGATGGGCCTGTGTGAAATGCTCTGTGGAGGAACTGCCATTCTAGGAATGAGGGTGTGGGCAGGGAGACCCAGAGGCCTGCCAGCCATCTTTGAAAGCTGAGTGGCGACGTGACAGTTTGCCTTCACTTAAAGTGATGTTGGGTTTCCTGAAGGTACTTGTGGTTGAGTCTGATTTAGAAAATAACTCAGAGATTAATGCATGTGCTCCCCCCCCCAGGGTGGGGTGTGTGTTGGGGGGTGGTACTTGTGATAGAGGGAGGAAGGGAGGAAGGGAAGGAAGGAGGGAGAGAGAGAGACAGAGAGAGACTGAGATTTAAGTGAAATGCTCCACTTATTTGTGGGGAGTGGGCGATGGTCTAAGTGTTGACTGTAGTGAGGACTGGAAAGTGTCCTTCCGAGCTCAGGTAACTCTTGCGCATTCCCAAAGAACTCTGGTCCCCAGCCTGGATCACGTTAGGAAGCCTGTAGCACTGGCCTCTGAAACCACTGGAGGCCAGGTTTGCTGGCACTTTGGAACCAGACTCTGACGTTTTTTTATTTTCTTTGTTGTTCTGTTTATTTCTTGCATCCTAGTGACTTGGACTGGGCCGTGTTCGAGCCAGATCTTCTGGTCACCAGTTCTGTGGACACATACATCTACATCTGGGATATCAAGTAAGAGCAACAAAGAGTTATAACCACTCGACTGTGGGACAATTTTGGATCGTTTTTGTAGAGATCACATGTCTTAGTTTGGCTCCCCTAGATGTGGATCCTGAGGATTTGATGCAAATACATTATTTAGAAGATGAAAGAGATGCTGGTAGGGTGATGAAGACAGAGGCGAGGGAGCATTATCCACTGAGAGCAGGAGGAGCTCAGTCTCCTTGGGGGCCACTGCGTGCCAGTGTAGAACTCCTTCCTCAGAGGTGTTCCCCGAGGGCTGAGGAAGCAGGGGTCCCACTCTGATGAAGGCTGCCTCTGGGGATCTTAATTCCATGGCACTTGAGGCTTGGGCCACAGGTTTGCAAAGCAGGTCTCAGGAGCCAGGGCAAGTCCCTTTGGCAAAGAAAAACAAATGCTGGCATTTGGAGGTTGAGCTGCAGTTTACTGAACTGGCAAGTGACACTGGGGGGATTCTGCTGTGGCAGGCAGCACTGAGATGTGTCTCTTCAGCTTTCTACTTGCTCTGGGTGAGGCTGCAAGTCCCCATCTGTATAAAGGGACTAAGGGCTACCTCACAGGGTTACATGTCATGGAATAAAGAGCAAAGGAGCGCCCTGCCCAGGGCCTGGCATCTTGTAAGGACAACATATGGCAGATGGTTGGAGGTGGCTACTCTGAGGGTGTGGTCTGTAGAATCTCCCATCCTGGTCAGCGCTCCCCTAACCAGGTTCCTCTGCTTCCCTCATGGCAGTGGCTATGTGGGCTGCAGGCAGAAGGCAGGCCAGGTGTTGAGGTGGCACACAGCAGACTGGGGAGAGGGGCTCCTGGGAAGGAGGGCTGTGGCATGTGATGTGATTGGGCATTACAGACAGATTAGCATTTCAGAGATGACCGTGCCAGATGATACCACAAGGGAGAAGGACAAAATCCAGCAGAAATGGAAGAGGGACATCGCTAAACAAACAGATAACCAGGGGGCTCGGACAAGATTAGAGTACCCCTCATTTACATAAAAGAAGTGTTTTCTTGATTTCAAGGCACTGAAAACTGACAGTTACATCCAAAATCTTTTGAATAGTAAGCCGGGATGGCACATTTGCTCGTGTGGCCCCTGCAGCCCTAGGGTGCCGCCCAGTGCTGTCGTCTAACCATTTGGTGGAGAAGTTGCCCATCTGACTTTGTAGGGACCATGGAGCTGATGTTTTCTAGAGTCTCCCACTATATCTAGAATAGTTTTTTTTTTTCCTTCAAATTGTAGTGAAAAAACATTCAAGAAGGTCTTCAAGAAAGTTCTTGGAAAATGCATATTATGAAAAAACTATGTATGGATTTGAAAATTTTGCACCAAAAAAATTTAATTTCATTTTCCCCCAGACTTTTTGAAGTTCCCTTGTATAGTGTGAGCTTTTCCTTCTTAACCCTTTGTAAGTGAATGGTTTGGTAGTGTTAAGTGTATTCTTGCCATTCCCCAGTTGCTCCAGCCCGTACTAACCACCATTCCATTGTGTTTCTGTGAATTTGACCATTCTTACTACCTCATGTAAGTGGAATCATACAGTATTTATCTTTTTATGATGGCCTTATTTCACTTAGCCTAGTGTCCCCAAAGTTTCATCCATTTTGTATACATCAGCATTTCCTTTGTTTTTTAAGGCATTATTCCATCATATGGATATACCATATTTTGTTTATCCATTCTTAAATTGCTTCTGCCACTTGGCTTTTGTGAACATATAAAATTAAAAAAAAAGATTTATTTATTTATTTGAAGGCAAGTTACAGGGTAGGGGGGGAGAGAGAGAAAGTTCCATCCACTGGTTCACTTCTGAATGGCTGCGACAGCCAGAGCTGGGCTGATCCAAAGCCAGGAGCCAGGAATTTCTTCTGGTTCTCTCATGCAGGCACAGGGGCCCAAGGACTTGGGCCATTTTCCACTGCTTTTCCAGGCTAAAGCTGGGAGCTGTATCAAAAGTGGAGCAGCCAGGACTCGAGCTGGTACCCGTTTGTGATGCCAGCACTGCAGGTGGTGGCTTTACCTGCTATGCCACAGCATTGGTCCCTTAAAATGGTTTTTTAATCCATCTTTGAGATGATGCTGGCAAGGTTCTTGCAGAGTTATACTTCCATGACTATCATCTGTTGTTACTGGAGAAATTACACCAGGCAGGGATTCTTCTGGCTGCTTCTCCCTCTATATTGGGATTGCCCAGACCTGTTGAATAGTATAATGTCTCCTTTGGATACAGTTGTGTGATTTGAAATCCAGACTCAGCTTCAGTGGAAGTGTCTGAGAAAGTTCATCTACCTGGAAGGAGATGGGTCTATCTTTTTTTAATATCTATCTATCTACCTACCTACCTACCTATATATAAATTTCATAAGTACAACTTTTTTTTTATTGGCCAGTGCCGTGGCTCACTAGGCTAATCCTCCGCCTGCGGCACTGGCACCCTGGGTTCTAGTCCCAGTCAGGGCGCCGGTTTTGTCCCGGTTGCTCTCTGCTGTGGCCCGGGAAGGCAGTGCAGGGGCCCAAGGACTTGGACCATCCTCCCCTGCTTTCCCAGGCCATAGCAGAGAGTTGGGTAGGAAGTGGAGCAGCTGGGTCTCAAACCAGCGCCCATATGGGATGCCAGTGCTTCAGACCAGGGCATTAACCCACTGTGCCACAGCGCTGGCCCCATAAGTACAACTTTTGGATTATGGCGGTTCCCCCCACCTCCATACCCGCCCTTCCACACCCAAACTGTCCCACCTCCTACTCCCTCTCCCATTCCATTCTTCATTAAGATTCATTTTTAATTATCTTTATATACAGAAGATCAACTATGCTAAGTAAAGATTTCAACAGTTTGCACCCACAGACACACAAAGTATAAAGTACTGTTTAAAGACTAGTTTTACAGTCTCTCTCATAGCACAACACATTAAGGACGGAGGTCCTACATGGGGAACAAGTGTACAATGACTCCTGTTGTTGATTTAACAATTGGCACTCTTATTTATCATGTCAGTGATCAACCGAGGCTCTTGTCATGAGCTGCCAAGGCTATGGAAGCCTCTTGAGTCCACAAACTCTGACATTATTTAGACAAGGTCATAATCAAAGTGGAAGTTCTCTCCTCCCTTCAGAGAAAGGTACCTCCTCCTTTGATGGCGAGATGGGTCTATCTTTATACTACTTCTTAAGGCTCTCACAGCAGATCTGACTGCAAGTTCCCACTGAAAGAAAAGCTGAGAGATGAGTGGAAAGGGTAAAAAGTTCTAGGTGGATGGTGGTGTATGAATTGGCCGTTTATCTTCTGATTTGTATGTTTCAGAGACACAAGGAAACCTACCGTTGCACTGTCGGCTGTAGGTGAGCATTCTCCCCACCCCAGCTGGTCTTCATTCCTTCCCTTCCTGTTTCTCTCCTTCTCCCCCTGTGCTTCCCCACGGTAAGTCTCACACTGCAGGGGGCTTTCCTTGAGCTGCTTTCAGAAGCAGAGTCAGAGCTATTCAATGTGGATCAGGAATTTACTTTAGAATTCAAGGACAGGAGCCAAGTTGACTTGTTTATAAACTTTTTATCATGGAAAATTTCAAACATAAAAATAGCAGAAAATGAATTTCCTAGTATTCATCGTCAGCTTCAACAATTGTTATCTTACATCAGATCTTCCTCCTAAGGCAGGTGTGGCCTAGTGGTTAAGACACCCGTGTCCCTTTGATACCCACGGGCACCTCCTGCCCCAGCTTCCTGCTGATGCAGACTGTCCTCATAAGGCAGCAGTGATGGCTCTAGTAATTGGATTCCTGCCACCAGGTGGGAGACGTGAACTGAGTTCTCAGTTGCTGGCTTTGGCTTTGGCTTTGGCTTTGGCTTTGACCCAGTTATCAGTTTTATAGGCATTTGGAGAATGAACTAATAGATGGAAGCTCTCTCTCTCTCTGTCTCTTTGCCTGTCAGATAAATATATATAATTTTTTTTTAAAATGTTGCTGCATCTGTACTGCCCCCCACCATTGCACACCCTGCCTTACCCCCCTGGTGATTATTTTGAAGCAAAACCTGGTGTCATTTCTTCAACAACTTTTTCAGTATATGTTTTTACAAAACTCCCTAAAAAAAGTAATCCAGTTCCATTAGCAAAATAAAATCTTAACAGTCATCAAATATCTAAGCAGTATTCGCATTTCCCCAATAGTCCCATCCCCCCTCTTTTTCGCCAGTTGTTTGAATCTGAATCTATTGCAGGTCCACAGCTGGGAGGGGTTGATAGGTTTCTCATCCTTCTGGGTGGCATGTGTCTTCTCCCTTTGGTTTTGGCTTTGCCTTCCCTGCATTTTATTTGTTGAAGAAGCCAGGTTGTTTATGCTGTGATTTCTCCGTAATCTAGATTGGCTGATTGTGTCCCTGTGGTCATTTAATATGGATGTACTGAGTCTTAGAAGTGCTTTCTGATCTACCTGTTCTCATTGCTTAATTAGAATTGGCCTTTTTTGGAATTCTCAGTTGGGGTTGTTAGGGAATATTCTTACCACTTCCTGAGAGAACGTGGGTACAGAACTGCTATAACTTACAATGATGTAGTTTAATCATCAGCCTTTTGGCATCTTTGATGAAAACATGTGTTTTATGTCTGTTGAATCCTGTTCCTTAGTGTTTGCTCCAAAACAGTTATATGGCTTTTTTTTCCTTTATATCTCCTCCCCTGCTTCATTATTTAAAGACATTTGGCATCATAATTGTATCGAGCAGCTGGATTATAGGATCTAGAGCCCTGGATCTACTATGAATTTCCTCAGTTAGGAACACCAGCCAGAGGGAAAGGTGGCACAGAGTAGTAGCATGTGTTGTATGAGTAAGGACATGAAGAGGCCGGGGCAGAGCCAGCACTGTGGTACTAGTTTAATTTAATTAGCTGAATTTTCTTTCTTTCTTTTTTTTTTTAAACTTTTATTTAGTAAGTAAAATTTCCAAAGTACAGTTTATGGATTACAATGGCTTTTTCTCCCCCATAACTTCCCTCCCACCCACACCCCTCCCATCTCCCACTCCCTCTCCCATTCCATTCACATCAAGATTCATTTTCAATTATCTTTATATACAGAAGATCAATTCAGTATATATTAAGTAAAGATTTCATCAGTTTGCACCCACACAGAACATGAAGTGTAAAATACTGTTTGAGTACTAGTTATAGCATTAATTCACATTGGACAACACATTAAGGACAGAGATCCCACATGAGGAGTAAGTACACAGTGACTCCTGTTGTTGACTTAACAATTTGACACTCTTGTTTATGGTGTCAGAAATCTCCCTAGGCTCTAGTCATGAGTTTCCAAGGCTATGGAAGTCTCTTGAGTTCGCTGACTTTGATCTTATTTAGACAAGGTCATAGTCAAAGTGGAAGTTCTCTCCTCCCTTCAAAGAAAGGTACCTCCTTCTTTGATGGCCCGTTCTTTCTACTGGGATCTCACTCGCAGAGAACTTTCATTTAAGTCCTTCCCCCCCCCTCCCCCCAGAGTGTCTTGGCTTTCCATGTCTAAAATACTCTCATGGGCTCTTCAGCCAGATATGAATGCCTTAAGGGCTGATTCTGAGGCCAGAGTGCTGTTTAGGACATCTGCCATTCTCTGAGTCTGCTGTGTATTCCACTTCCCATGTTGGATCGTTCTCTCGCTTTTTTATTCTGTCAGTTAGTATTCGCAGACACTAGTCTTGTTTGTGTGATCCCTTTGACTCTTAGACCTATCAGTGTGATCAATTGTGAACTGAAATTTATCACTTGGACTAGTAAGATGGCATTGGTACATGCAATCTTGATGGGATTGTATTGGAATCCCCTGGCACATTTCTAACTCCACCATTTGGGGCAAGTCCGATTGAGCATGTCCCAAATTGTACATCTCCTCCCTCTCTTATTCCCACTCTTATATTTAACAGGGATCACTTTTCAGTTAAATTTCAACACCTAAGAATAAATGTGTGTTAATTACAGAGTTCAACCAATAGTATTAACTAGAACAAAAAAAATACTAAAAGGGATAAAGTATTAAATTGTACATCAACAGTCAGGACAAGGGCTGATCAAGTCACTGTTTCTCATAGTGTCCCTTTCACTTCAACAGGTTTCCTTTTTTGTGGTTGGTTAGTTGTCACCGATCAGGGAGAACATATGATATTTGTCCCTTTGGGACTGGCTTAATTCACTCAGCATGATGTTTTCCAGATTCCGCCATTTTGTTGCAAATGACCGGATTTCATTGTTTTTGACTGCTGTTTAGTATTCTATAGAGTACATGTCCCATAATTTCTTTATCCAGTCTACTGTTGATGGGCATTTGGGTTGATTCCAGGTCTTAGCTATTGTGAATTGAGCTGCAATAAACATTAAGGTGCAGACAACTTTTTTGTTTGCCAATTTCATTTCCTTTGGGTAAATTCCAAAGAGTGGGATGGCTGAGTTGTATGGTAGGGTTATATTCAGGTTTCTGAGGAATCTCCAGACTGACTTCCATAGTGGCTTTACTAGTTTGCATTCCTACCAACAGTGGGTTAGTGTCCCTTTTTCCCCACATCCTCACCAGCATCTGTTGTTGGTAGATTTCTGCATGTGAGCCATTCTCACCGGGGTGAGGTGAAACCTCATTGTGGTTTTGATTTGCATTTCCCTGATTGCTAGTGATCTTGAACATTTTTTCATGTGTCTGTTGGCCATTTGGATTTCTTCTTTTTTTTTTAATTTTTATTTTTTTTATTTTTGACAGGCAGAGTGGACAGTGAGAGAGAGAGACAGAGAGAAAGGTCTTCCTTTTTTTTTTTTTTTTTTTTGCCGTTGGTTCACCCTCCAATGGCCACCATGGCCGGTGCATCGCACTGACACAAAGCCAGGAGCCAGGTGCTTCTCCTGGTCTCCCATGCGGGTGCAGGGCCCAAAGACTTGGGCCATCCTCCACTGAACTCCCGGGCCATAGCAGAGAGCTGGCCTGGAAGAGGGGCAACCGGGACAGAATCCGGTGCCCCGACCGGGACTACAACCCGGTGTGCTGGCACTGCAAGGAGAAGGATTAGCCTATTTAGCCACGGTGCCGGCTGGATTTCTTCTTTTTTTTTTTTTTTTTTTTTTTTAGTTTCGGACAGGCAGAGGCAGAGTGGACAGTGAGAGAGAGAGACAGAGAGAAAGGTCTTCCTTTGCCGTTGGTTCACCCTCCAATGGCCGCCGCGGCCGGCGCGCTGCGGCCGGCGCACCGCGCTGATCCGATGGCAGGAGCCAGGAGTCAGGTGCTTTTCCTGGTCTCCCATGGGGTGCAGGGCCCAAGCACCTGGGCCATCCTCCACTGCACTCCCTGGCCACAGCAGAGGGCTGGCCTGGAAGAGGGGCAACCGGGACAGAATCCGGCGCCCTGACCGGGACTAGAACCCGGTGTGCCGGCGCCGCTAGGCGGAGGATTAGCCTAGTGAGCCGCGGCGCCGGCCTGGATTTCTTCTTTTGAAAAATGTCTATTGAGGTCCTTGGCCCATCTCTTAAGTGGATTGTTTTTTTTGATGTGGAGTTTCTTTATCTCTTTGTAGATTCTGGTTATTAACCCTTTATCTGTTGCATAGTTTGCAAATATTTTTTCCCATTCTGTCGGTTGCCTCTTCACTTTCCTGACTGTTTCTTTTGTAGTACAGAAACTTCTCAATTTGATGCATTCCCAAATGTTAATTTTGGCTTTGACTGCCTGTGCTTCTGGGGTCTTTTTCAAGAAGTCTTTGCCGGTGCCTATATCTTGCAGGGTTTCTCCAATGTTCTCTAATAATTTGATGGTGTTGGGTCGTAGATTTAAGTCTTTAATCCATGTTGAGTGGATTTTTGTGTAAGGTGAAAGGTAGGGGTCTTGCTTCATGCTTCTGCATGTGGAAATCCAATTTTCCCAGCACCATTTATTGAATAGACTGTCCTTACTCCAGGGATTGGTTTTGCATCCTTGATCAAATATAAGTTGGCTGTAGATGTTTGTTCCTTAACCCAATCAGCCAATCTGTGTCTTTTTTTTTTTTATTTTTATTTTTTTTTTATTTTTGACAGGCAGAGTGGACAGTGAGAGAGACAGGGAGAAAGGTCTTCCTTTGCCGTTGGTTCACCCTCCAATGGCTGCTGCGGCCGGTGCACCGCACTGATCCGATGGCAGGAGCCAGGTGCTTCTCCTGGTCTCCCATGGGGTGCTAGGGCCCAAGCACTTGGGCCATCCTCCACTGCACTCCCTGGCCACAGCAGAGAGCTGGCCTGGAAGAGGGGCAACCAGGACAGAATCCGGCACCCCGACTGGGACTAGAACCCGGTGTGCCGGCACCACAAGGCAGAGTATTAGCCTATTGAGCCATGGCGCTGGCCCACACTCAGTTCTTTTTCTCTCTTGTTACCTCAGCTATTCCTTCTTGGCTCCGCTAAGGATACCGTATCCAAGACGGGAAGGTGACTGTGGCAGGAAGGGTTACCAAGGGGTTCTGATCATCCTACTGCAGAACCAGAAGTTTACTACATAATCTCTCTGTCTGCTTTTGATGGAGCCTTAGAGGCTCTAGATGGGTGTGGCCAGAGAGCTCTGTTTGGTTCCTCAGGATTAAGGGTGTGCCAAAGATGACACTCCCAGGTTAGGCATGGTAAATCTCTCTCTCTCTCTCTCTTTTTTTTTTTTTTTGATTCAGAAGGGAAGTAATTCCACACAGCTGAGTATAATTGAAGGCAGTCAGCTTCTGATCTCTGGCTCCTGTGTGTATAACATTCCCCTGCTCTTTTCCAAGGACCACACAGGGAATCTGTGCTGCCCTCATTGTGGGCTCAAATTCTCCTGCAGTCTCTCCCTGGGTTGCCAAGGTTACCAAATTGTAGCGTCTCTGAAGAGTACTCAGGTGAACCCCATGAGTTCTCTCACCCACCATCTCTTTTTTCACAGTCTCAGTTCATTAGCTCCACACATTCACTAGGTCCTAATCTCCTGTTATTTCACCCCCCAAGAGTCAGGTTTTTCTGCTTGGCTGTGGGTAGGCGCAGCCCTGAGGTCGCACAGCTTTTGCGTATGACTAAAATGGCGCCTGCTCTTTGCCTTGCTCACCTTTGAGAGGTGAGCGGAGAGAAAGAAACTCATGTTCGTACTGGTCCCTTTTTTTTTTTCCTCTCTCCTCTAGTTAGCCTGGTGAACTTTCCCCGACGGGGCTTCAAGCCTCGTTCCCTCTAGGCTCCTCCTCCTGTTTTCCTGCCGGTGTCTTGGGCTATTGAGGTTCAGCTCACCTCGAGTTCCAGCGCTGGTGTGTAGATTCTGCTGCTGGTGTCCCGAGCCGTGGGCTCCCATGCTTTCCACGCAGGTCCACCATGAATCACTAGTTCCAGAAGAGTTTCCTCTGCTGTTTCTTCCCCAACTCTTCCTTGAACCTACAGTATCTCCACTTTTATTAAACTGTCTCTTCCCGGACTATCAGTGTGCTCCCTTCCTATTCTGCCATCTTGCCGGAAATCTGAATTTTCTTTTTTCACCCATCTGTCTTTCTCTTGCTTGCTTTCTTGCTCCCCATTCCACTGGCTCTTTCCATAAATGTCTGTATTGGCCAGGGCTGAAGCTGAAGGCTGAGGAAGCAATCCAGTCTTTCACTTGAATGGCAGGACCCCCATTACTTGAGCTATCACTGCGGTCTCTCAGGGTCCGTGTTGGTAGAAAACTGGAGTCCGGAGCCACAGACAGGAATCCAGCCCAGATGCTCTGATGTGGGATGTGGGTACCTTAAATGCTGTTTAGGCTGACTGCTCTGTAATGGTCAGTCAGAAGTGCTGTTTTGTCCATTTTGCGCATCAGTCCTTCCTGACATCTCACATTACGCCTCCCGTTTTATGTACCTCTTTTGTCACTATTGTTAGCCTCTCCAGATTGGCAGAGAAGTCAGGAGCAGGGCACAGAGCCCCTGGGGGTGGAACTGGTCTGCACTGGGGCTTATTCTTCAGCTGTATTTCTGCTTGAGGTGGTGCTTTTCCCTGACTGTCCCTCAAGAAAGAAAAGGGGGGGCAGGAGCCAGCGTGAGATGTGCAGTTCTCCTGGTGTCGTTGCTGGGAAGGAAGGGCCAGGTCGTGGACAGTTACCAGCAGCAGGCCTGTGTTCAGCTGCGGCTCCTGTCATCCTGTTCAGAGTAACCTTAGGGTTTTCCCCTGAGATTATTTTCTTAATTAGGTGACTGCAGTTCTGTTCCCGTATGTTAATTCATTTATTTTTTGGCTTCATTTTAATCTGTAATGGGAGTGCTGGTGCAGTCACAGAAACTAGAAGGCTTCTCTGCTCATCGAACCAGAACTCACCGTGCGTTCCCCTGGATATGCTTCATTCTGTGTCCAGAAGCGCGGAGGGTGGAGGGTGGAGGGCAGCAGCCACAGCAGCTTTCTTCCTTTTTTTTTTTTTTTAAAAGCTGGTGCCTCTCAGGTCAAATGGAATAAAAAAAATGCTAACTGCCTTGCCACCAGCCATGATGGTGATGTGCGGATATGGGATAAGCGGGTGAGTGATCCCTTCCCCCCCAGTTAGCCTTTGGTTCCTCTCAGAGCATGTGAAGAAGACGTTATGAATCCCAGGACTTGCCCTGAGAGCCCGGGGAAACCTGTGCAGTGTGGTAAATTGCTGTTTTAAAATTATTGTACCAAATAACATTTGTTTCTCAGTCCACCTGAAGTTAACAGAAGGTAGGGGAGTGAAGCGTTATGTTCGGTGGTTAAGAAAGTGAACTTGGGGGGCTGACATTGTGGCATAATGGGTTAAGCTGCCGCCTCCAATACTGGCATTCCATATGGACACCAGTTCAAGTCCCGGCTGCTCCACTTCCAGTCCAACTCCCTGCTAATGAGCCTGGAGAAGCAGCAGAGGATGACCCAAGTCCTTGGGTCCCTTCACCCATGTGAGAGACCTAGAAGAAATTCCTGGATCCTGACTTCGGCTTGGCCCAACCCTGGTGTGGCCATTCAGAGAGGGAAGTAGTGAATGGAAGATCTCTCTCTCTCTCTCTCTGTATGTCTCCCTCTCTCTAACTCTGTCTTTCAAATAAATAAAGTAAATCTTAAAAAAAGAAAAAAGAAAGAAAGTGGACTTGGTTGCTCACTTTGGCAGCACCTACACTAAAGTTGGAACAGTCTAAGATTAGCATGGGTCCTGTGCAAGAATGGCATGTAGATTCATGATGCAGTTTATATTTTTTAAACCACAAACTTGGAGCCCCATTTTGGTGTCTCCTCATGATGACATCAGATAAGGTAACTGTAACTTCTCAAAGCCTCAGTTTCCTTATCTTCAAACTAAAAATACAAAGCAGTAAGGGTCAAGTCCTGGGAGCCAGATACTGTTCTGGAATCATCAGCCTGGCGTCTTATCCCGATTACAAGTGAAAATTAGTTGCTTGAGGTCATTTAGCATCCTGCATCCTCCTGATATAGCTCACGGAGGTGGGGACTCATCATGCACAACTCCCCCTTTAGACATCTCGACATCCCGTCAGCCTCAGTGGCCTCAGGTGGATCGTACATCCCCGGGCAGCAGCCTGTGGGCTGAAAGCATGGAAAGGGTGCAGGGCCCTAGGCTGTGACTGTAATGGAAGTCTGCTGGAGTCTGGCTTGTTGGCATTGATGAGAGATGAGGGAGGGAGAGGGCCTTCCCTGTGTCTCGCTGCCAGACGGTTGGGTAGTAACACTCAGAGCAGTCCATGGACTGTGACACTAATACTTCCTGCTTTGTGACAGCTGAGGCTGGAGACCCTCTACCTTTGAGGGGAGGGTTTGTTCAGGGATGTCCTGACCCAGTGCTGACCGTAAAGTCTCGACATTGTTTCTGGCCCCACTGCTCCCTCCCCTCCTAGCAGGGAACCTTGTCTCGCTTTTGAAAGCAAAGCGGGAAGTGAGGCAGAGATTGAATGTGGCGGATCCTATCGTGGAGCGGGTTCCAGGCCCTGCTGGGGAAGCCCTCTGCCTGGGGGCTCTCCGGGGTGGGAAGGTGATTTTGTAGAGTTTCTGTCTTCTTCCCTTAGTCTGATCTGCTAAGAGCCACTTCCCTCTTCTCTGTACTTAAGTTGATTAATTTTCATTTTGTCATTACACTAGTACTTACATACAGTAAGTAGCTTAAGTAAAATAAGTTTGGTTAGTTTAGTGTTAATTTGGGTTAGACTCTAAAAAAACCATAGGCACTGCAAACAATTTAGTATTTAGCTGTGAAATATAATTTGAAGTCTCCTGATTAGTCCACTAATAACGCCAACTTCTTCCTACCTTTCTGTCTGTTTTGTTGAAAGAGTTTAAGTGGTCTGTATCAGATATTGACACTTGGGCCTTGTGGTCAGTTGGGTTGAGAACTTGGTGGTATTTTCACTTCTCAGGGGCTCCGTAGTGTCGGAGCACACTGAGAGCAGCAGGCACCACAGGCTCACAGAAAGGCAGTGTCAGCGGTGACGCTGGATTTCCATGCAAACTCATGTATGACCCATATGACCGACATGTAGTAAGTGTTTGCTACGTACAGGCATTGTTTTAAAAGCTTCGCATTGGTTGGTTAATTTCTCTTCATAGCTAGTCTTGGAAGTCAGGTCTGTCACTGTCCCTGTTACACAGACGAGTAAACTGCAGTGCTGTTGGCTGCAGGGTTTGAACTGAGGGAAGCTGCTTCTGGAGACTGCACTTTGATCCTCGTAGACTAATGCTCATTAGAAAAGTATTAGTGCTCTTTGTATATATAAAACACAGGCCAGGACATCCCTGAACAAACCCTTCCCTCGAAGGTAGAGGGTCTCCAGCCTCAGGGAAGCATTAGTGTTACATCCCATGGACTGATCTGTGTGTTACTACCCAGTCGTCTGACAGCAAGACAGAGGACACAGAAATATATAAAAGAAAAAATAAAACTCAGAGACATGTGTTTACATTTTGATGTTTTCTTTACCTTTTTTTCTAAGAACGCATAATTTATCATATCGTATACAAATTCTGTATACTTAACGTTGGACAACAGGTGCATTTCCCCCATGTCATAAATTTTAAGAAAGATTTTTTACTGACTATATCACACAGTATCACATGGCTGTAGTATAATTGACTCATTTTAACTGTCCCCCACTTACTGCTTATTTGGGTTATTTCTGATTTTCTAGTGTACAAAATAACACCAAAATGATGATTTTTTTTTTTTTTTTGACAGGCAGAGTGGACAGTAAGAGAGAGAGACAGAGAGAAAGGTCTTCCTTTGCTGTTGGTTCACCCTCCAATGGCCGCCGTGGCCGGCGCGCTGCGGCCGGCGCACCACGCTGATCCGATGGCAGGAGCCAGGAGCCAGGTGCTTCTCCTGGTCTCCCATGGGGTGCAGGGCCCAAGCACCTGGGGCATCCTCCACTGCACTCCCTGGCCACAGCAGAGAGCTGGCCTGGAAGAGGGGCAACCGGGACAGAATCCGGTGCCCTGACCGGGACTAGAACCCGGTGTGCCGGCGCCGCTAGGCAGAGGATTAGCCTAGTGAGCCGCGGCGCCGGCCCCAAAATGATGATCTTTTGTATCTAATGTTTTTTTTTGTGAATTTGAATTATTCTCTTGGGAAAGGTAAAGTCTTTTGATAAATCCTGCCAAATTTTCTCTCAAAAAGATTGCACTATTTTTTTTTTTTTAAGATTTATTTATTTTAGTTGAAAGAGTTACACACAGAGAGAAGGAGAGGCAGAGAGGAGAGGTCTTCCATCCACTGGTTCACTCCCCAGTTGGCTGCAACAGCCGGAGTTGCACCTATCTGAAGCCAGGAGCCAGGAGATTCTTCCAGGTCTTCCATGCAGGTGCAGGGACCCAAGGACTTGGGCCATCTTTTACTGCTTTCCCAGGCCGTAGCAGAGAGCTGGATCAGAAGTGGAGCAGCCGGGTCTCAATCCGGCACCCATATGGGATGCAGGCACTGCAGGCAGCGGCTTAACCTGCTACGCCCCAGTGCCGTCCTCAAGATTACACTATTCTATATATACACCAGCAGTAGCAGATAGAGCCTCAGTAGCACTGAGTGCTCCTGACAGATATCTTCTATTTTACTGTGTGTTTCCAAGGTTTCCACTGAGTTTGTTTTATATATGCTGTTCATGACGTTGTTTTTCTAGTGATATGTGTAATTTTTTTTCGGACTCTTTGTGCTCTGTCACTTGGAGATCGATGGTTTTACCCTTAGGGTTGAGGTTGGGTCTCTGGATGAATGTGAGGAAGGGAGAGCAGGACACATCAGATGGCACTTTAAAGAAGGGGGAGAGCACCTGCTGCTCTGTGTCTGCCAGTGCAGTCACGCCTCTGCTGGGGAGACCTGAGATGAGGCTCACAGGCCATTTACATGTGAAAGAGAGCTGGATATGTCTTTTATTGCTGTTAGTTTTGGCTTAATGAAAACAAAAGAAGAGTTTCTGGCAGTATTTTTGCATCCCCACTGAGCACCTAGCAGACACTCCAGTTCTTTCTGGATGGACAAACTGACTGATGTGTTGCAGAAGCCCAGCACAGCAGTGGAATACCTAGCGGCCCACCTCTCCAAAATCCACGGCCTCGACTGGCACCCAGACAGTGAGCACGTTCTTGCTACCTCCAGTCAAGACAACTCTGTCAAGGTGAGTGGCGCCACTGGGGCCGCTGGAGAAGGTATTTGGGAGGCATCAGCGATGTGTGCTGGCTCTCTGGAAGGAAAATTGTGTTTTGTTACCACGGACTGTCTGTTTCCAGGGTACATGTGCTTCTTGGAGAGCTGAGCAAGTAAACCTGGTTATGTTGACCAGCAGGAGTGATGACATAGCATCTTTCTGATCTACCTCTTAAAATTTGTATAAGGAAGTCAGAGACAAAAGCATTTAGAAAGAAAAAGAAATTGCAAGGAAGTCAGAGATACACACAGAGATGTAAGTAAAGGAGAAGGGTGCACACAAAATTGTTACGAAGATTACAGTTAGTCCTACAGTTAGTTAGTTAGTGGGAGGAAAAACAGGTTCTCTGGAATTATTATCATATCTGCAAAAGTCTGAGAACTCGGACATCAGCGTTGCTGAAGTCAGGAGCAGCATTGCTTCATCAGGGCCCTCTACCTCACAGGAAATGCTCGAGGCATGTGTGTTTCAGTGACCCTCTGGTCTTAGCTTATCACAGAGTTGTTTGTTTTTCCTTTCCAGCTGAGGCATGTGATGTGGACTCTTGGTTAGAATGATGGCAGGGCAATTATCTTTGTACTGTAGTTCCTTCTTCTGGTTGAGTCTGTCCTTAAATACTTAAATTTGACCACAGAAGTTGGTTCAGCAATTTTGTGAGTCAGTGTCATTAATTTAATGCTTTGTTGTATTTACATAGGCATTTACAAAATCTTTTTAGTATGATTAGCAAAACTATAATCATACACCAAAGCTTAAAAGTTAACTCTGGCTTGAGGTTTGTAAATCTCTTGGGGTTGTAATTTACTTTTATGTGCGAGAAGTGGTTTTCCTGTTTGTTCATGTTGCATTGGGTTTTTGTCCCTACATCCAATCTGCTTTGTGTCCCAAGTGCAAGAACCAGAAACCATCGGATTCGACATTGGAAAAAGAAATTAGTAACATTTATTATGTGGTTGTTTGAAAGATTATGTAGGATAAAAAAAAAAAAACAACAACAATGTAAAGCACGTAAAGCTCTGAATACACGTCTGAAATGTGGTTGTGGGTGAAACAGGCTATTTCAGCTGTTGTTACTTAATTACCCACAAAGTGTAAAAGTGACACAGGATCAAAACATGTTACTTTTTGACCTTTCGGCCACCAAGGTCATTTAATAGATAGGCCTGTTAACAGTGACTTGCCCTGATTGAGGGTCCTCGTGAAGTCCCGAAGTTCTCCTGTAATTTTTATAAATGCAAAAGGGAGGATTCTTTGTATGTCTGTCGCAGTCTCATTATTGCAGGGACCCAACTAAAAATACACTATTGAAATGAATCTTTACAGGACAAAAAGCATTGAATTCAAAGCCTATGCTTATTTCAGTAGTTAAATTTTTTTAATGGCATTTGTTTCACAAATTATCTTGCTTCTTCCCCTCTAGTTCTGGGATTACCGCCAGCCTCGGAAATACCTCAATATTCTCCCTTGCCAGGTGCCTGTCTGGAAGGCCAGATACACGGTGAGTGAGGCAGCTGCCCTCTGGCCAGGAAACTTGTCTCTGCGTTCTTATGGAGCATGCAGGGGCCAGGGGACATTTTCTCTTATTTGCTAAGTGTAGTAGTTTTCTCTTTCTGTCATAGGTTTGGAGTGAGGCAAATGTGGTAACGATGGCATTAATGCTGTTAACTGCTTAAAAATCTATCGTTGGAATGTTGGGCAGGAATCTGCATTAAGAGCCTCACTAAAGCTCACTGAGAAGCCTGGCAGTGCAAAGATGTGCACCAAGAGCAGGCCGGCAGGGGATGCTAGGGGAGAGGGCTGAGGGCTGCGGTCAGTGAATTGTGGTGGAAGAATTCTGGCTTTAGATGCAGAAGACCTGCATTCAGAACCCAGCTCTACCATTTAATGCTCATATTTGTCTGGCTTTGGACAGTACACAATTGATTTTGAGCAGAAAATTCCTCCTCTGTAGATTATGACTAAGAATTACTGTGCCTTCCATTTAAAAAAAAATTATTTGTTTATTTGAGAGATACAGTTATAGACAGAGCGAGGGAGAGACAGAGAGAAAGGTCTTCCATCCACTGATTCACTCTCCAAATGGTTGCAACAGCCAGAGTTGTGCTGACCCAAAGCCAGGAGCCAGGAGCATCTTCCGGTCTCCCATGCAGATACAGGGGCCCAAGCACTGTGCTCTCCAAGGCACATTAGCAGAGAGCTGGATTGGGAGAGGGGCAGCCAGGACTCGAACTAGCGCCCATATGGGATGCCGGCACTGCAGGCAGAGGCTTAGCTCACTGCGCCACAGCACTGGCCCCTGTGCCTTCCTTTTTTATTATAATAAAATTTCCCAGTTTAAAGTTGAGAATTCAATGGCATGTAGTACTTTCACAGTTGCCCTTTGTGTGGGGAGCAACTGGGAGCAACTGGGACTAGACTAAGTTACTGGAATTAAGACTTATTCTATGCATCTGCTCTCCCACAATATGGCGCTGGGAGAGGAGGAAACAGCTTCTACACAGCTGCCTCCAGTTCAACGAATAAACAGCAGGACCTGCTCCTGATTGGAGGAGAGCAGCGTACTCGGCGTGTGGGTAGCAGAGTTGGGATTGGTGGAAGAGGACTATAAAGGAGGAGAGAGACAACATGCACCAGGAACATCTATCTGAAGGAACACCTGAGCAGCCCCCGAGAGAGCCGGCCGGCGGTGTGCCACTCCCCCCGCGGAAGTGAGGAAAGTGGCAGGGGGAACTGCCCTTCCACGGAGGTGGAAGGGACGGTAGCCAACCCGGGAAGAACCAGCAGCAAACCCGGGGAGGGCCGAGCAGACAAAAGAACAGCGCAGGGTCCTGTGTCGTTCCTCCACGAAGACGGGGAGTGACATAATGGTGCCGTGACTCGGATATGAAGCCTAGGCAGGGTTCAGTGTCGTTCCTCCACGAAGAGGGGGAGCGACATAATGGTGCCGTGACTCGGATAGGAAGCCTAGGCAGGGTTCAGTGTCGCTCCTCCACGAAGAGGGGGAGCGACATAATGGTGCCGTGACTCGGATAGGAAGCCTAGGCAGGGTTCAGTGTCGCTCCTCCACGAAGAGGGGGAGCGACATAATGGTGCCGTGACTCGGATAGGAAGCCTAGGCAGGGTTCAGTGTCGTTCCTCCACGAAGGGGGGGAGCGACATAATGGTGCCGTGACTCGGATAGGAAGCCTAGGCAGGGTTCAGTGTCGCTCCTCCACGAAGAGGGGGAGCGACATAATGGTGCCGTGACTCGGATAGGAAGCCTAGGCAGGGTTTAGTGTCGTTCCTCCACGAAGAGGGGGAGCGACATAATGGTGCCGTGACTCGGATATGAAGCCTAGGCAGGGTCCTGTGTTGTTCCTCTGCAAAGAGGGGGAGCAACACTTTGTTTTTGAAATAATATACCTGAATGTGCTTTATAAATTGTAAAATGCTACAGATATAGGGGGTAGGTCTTTATTAACCTTCCAACAATTTTCCCATGGCCACATTGGTAGCTGCTTATCAGAGATAATATATTTCCTTAATGTCAGTTTGAAAGCAAGTGCAGGCATACATAAAACTTCCTTTATGCATTAGGCTGTTGCCCTGAGGCATTGTACAGCAAAGAAGATAATTTGGGTATTAAGTTGTTTTTGCATCTGGGATCACTTGCCCTGAAATCAGACACTGTTCTTATGAGTTAAAATACTTCCCTGGGATAATATGTTTGCTTTAAAAAATAAACTGAAAAGTCCTGAGTGCTACCAGGAGGACGGTTGAAGGTAAGCGTGCTCTTAGGTGACTGGTTTTGTTCCTTATAGAACTGAGTCCAGTTACCAACCAAATGGGCCCCTCAGTGACCTCCAGATGCGGTGTCACTGAGGAAACCACATCGGTCCTGAAGCTGCTGACTGTTTTGGAGGGTGGATGTGGAGCTGGGGCTGTGGGAAGGAGATGCTTCGTGTGGATGGTGTGCATCGAGTGCATTCACAAAGCGTAGGCCTCGTGTGCTGCTCTAGGCTTTTTCCCAGTCAGCCTTGCATGCTGCTTCTGGAAAAGCACTCAATAACTTGAGAGGGAACTCGTGGAGAAGAGCAGCCGGGCTGTGAAAAAGCAGTTGTTCACTTGTAGAATTTTCCAAGTTCTTCTGCAGCCATTGGCTCAGCCTTACATTTCACTGGCCGCTGGTCCTTCCATGGGCAGAGAGAGAAGACTAGATACGATGTTTGGCTTATGGCATTTGGGAAAATTTTCTCTAGATGGGTTGGGGCCTGCCGTATTCTAATTTAGTTTTTATTAGGAAGAATTCCAACTTGGGAAACTCAAGACTCAGTTGATTTTCTTTGAAATAGTCACCTTTGTGTCCCTTTCTTGCCGTAGCCTTTCAGCAATGGATTGGTGACTGTGATGGTTCCCCAGTTGCGGAGAGAAAACAGCCTTCTCCTGTGGAATGTGTTTGACTTGAACACCCCCGTCCATACCTTTGTGGGGCACGATGATGTGGTACTGGAGTTCCAGTGGAGGAAACAGAAGGAAGGTGAGCTGGGGAGAAGAGCCGCTGTGGCGTTCCGCCTGAGCTCTGTGGGACGGCAGCAGCAGCAGTCGGTGTTGGCTTTGTGGTCCAGTAAGGAGGATGCAGGACAGGGCTGGGTGTTAGGAACCAGCGAGTCAGGGCACCAGCACCTCTTAGCGTGGGTGGGCAAGGGGAGTGTGTAACTGCTGCTCCTTGTCCCCAGTTGGCCTCCTCTTCTCTGATTTTCAGAGTAGGCTCATGCTAGGAAGGGATCTGGTACAGGAGGGGGTTGATAGACTTGCTGTGGATCATTTCTAGGGCTGCAAGACTCTGGGATCCCTCTCCCCTGAAGGCCAGGACATTTGCCCCTTGCCATTCTTTTGATGAAGGAGATCCTAGACAGTCCTAAGGACATGTACCCCCAGTTATCTTCACAAACATACAGTGGCATTTTACCTCCCATCCCCTTGACGACTTGGATTTGCTCATGATCAGCAGCAGAAGTGATGTGGTCTGTCCTGGGTTAAAGTGTTAGGAACTCATGTGTGGTAGTTACATGCTCTCCTCTCTTTGCCTCTGTCCTGGCAACTGGGAAGACTCCAGATGGAGCTGCTCCCTTGCTGGCACAAGGATGAAGTGGAGATGTAGGGCAAGAAAGAAACCCTTGATTTAGCCACTGAGATTAGAGGTTGTTTGTTATTGCAACTCAGTATAGCCAGCCCTCACTACTGCAAGGTTGTAGTATAATGGAACCATAGAAGCATTTCACCTCAGTTTCTCAGTTGACTCACCATCCAAATTTGGATGCAGCCTCTGTTTTCTTGAGATCTTATACACTGACAGAGTGGAAGTATTCTTCTTGGTGTTTCCATATTACAGAAGGAAAGGCAAGCAGGTGCAGTGATGTGACTTGTTCAGGGGTCTAGAAAAGGTCTCCCCTGGTCCTGGGATTAGAGCAGTCCTCTTCTATCCCAGCTTATTTGTGACACTCACAAAACTCTTCCAGGATGGAGATACAGATATATACAGAGAGAGAGAGAAAGAGAGAGGTCTTTCATCTGCTGCTTCACTCCCCAAATGGCCACAATGGCTGGTATTGGGCCAAGCCGGAGCCAGGAGCTTCATCCGAGTCTCCCAAGCAGGTAGAGGGGCCTAATACTTGGGCCATCTGCTGCTGCTTTCCCAGGCGCATTAGCAGGGAGTTGGATCAGAAGTGAAGCAGCCAGGACTTGAACCAGCACCCACGTGGGATGCTAGTGTCGTAGACAGCAGCTTTACCCACTATGCTACAACACTGGCCCCAGGGTATTTTTTGAGGAGACTTTTGATTATCCTCTTAACTTCCCTCCCTCCCTCCCTCCCTCCCTTCCTTCCTTCCTTCCTTTTCCTCTCTCTCTCTATATGTGTATATATATTATATATACATAATATATATAATATGTACATATATTTCTTAAGATTAAGTTACTTATTTGAAAGTCAGAGTTATAGGGGGCCGGCGCTGCGGTTCAATAGGCTAATCCTCCACCTGCGGCACCGGCACACCAGGTTCTAGTCCCGGTCAGGGCGCCGGTTCTGTCCCAGTTGCCCCTCTTCCAGGCCAGCTCTCTGCTATGGCCCAGGAGTACGGTGGAGGATGGCCCAAGTGCTTGGGCCCTGTACCCCATGGGAGACCAGGAGGAAGCACCTGGCTCCTGGCTTCGGATCGGCGCAGTGCGCCGGCTGCAGCATGCCAACCGCAGCGGCCATTGGAGGGTGAACCAACGGAAAAGGAAGACCTTTCTCTCTGTCTCTCTCTCTCACTGTCCACTCTGCCTGTCAAAAAGAAAGAAAGAAAAAAGAAAGAGTTATAGAGAGTGAGAGAAACGGAGATTTTCCAACCACTGGTTCATTCACCAAATGGCTAAGCCAAAGCCAGAAGCCAGGAACTTCATCTGGGTCTCCCAAATGAGTAGCAGGGGCCCAAGCTCCTGGACCATCTTCTGTGGCTTTCCTAGGTGCATTAGCAGGGAGCTGGATCAGAAGTAGAGTAGCTGGGCTTCTATGGGATACTGTTGAGGCAGGCAGTGGCTTAACTCACTGTGCCACAACACAGGCCTCTTAGATTTCCTGTTCTTATCTCCAAAATCTCCCCTGCTTCCAGAAACATGTGACTATCTGGTCTTGATCCCACCAATTGCATATATGGCTTTTGACTTTGAACTTTCTCTCTTCCATTTTGCCATAGAAAATAGGTGGTATAATTTCCCCATGGTATGTTAGGGAGGAGTTGACCTGTAGTTATAGGTTGAAATAAAAAGTTTTTAGCTACCCATCTTTAAGCTGGTGGGATAAGTTGTGTGAATTGGAGCTGCCTAGCCAGTAGCAAAATTTTGAGTATAAGTTATAGGATTTTTTAAAAATACTTTCTTATTGTGATATATATCCTTTTTCTAGTAAATTACGTAAAACATATACAGTTTAACAAATCGTTGTCAAGTGAAAAATCATGTAACTTTGACAAGGTCAAGAAAGAACAATCTAAAACCCCAGCAGCTTCCTTATCACAGTTCCCCTTCCCCAGAGCGTCACTGTCCTAAGGTTTGGGACAGCAGTGTCTGTTTTCATCCTTTATGGCTCAGTGCCTATTTGTGAATCCCTAAAAATACTTTGCCTGTTTTTGAACCTTTTGTAAATTGTCTTGTGTGTATTTTATATTTTACCTTTTTTTGAGCCTAAGGTTGTTACAGATTATTTAAACATTTTGTAACTTGTTTTTAGAGAAAGAGAAAGGACTTCCATTGACTGATTGACTCCCCAAGTGCCTGCGATAACTGGGACTGGCCCGGGGCTGAAGCTGGGAGCCAGAAACTCAATCCAGGCCTCCCATGTAGGTGGAAGCGATCCAATTACTTGAGCCATCACTGCTGCTTCCCAGGGCCTGCATTAGCAGGAAACTGGAATCGGGAGCCAGGGCCAAGGAGAAACTGGGTACTCAATGTGGGACATGGTGTCTTAAGTGCTAGGCTGACTACAACTTACAAATAAATGGTAGTTTATTTTTACTCCCATGTCTTCTTAATAAATTATTTAAAATACTTCTAAAAATGTTTACTTAAAAGTCAGAGAGACAGAAAAAGAGAAGGAGAGAGATCTTCCATTCACTGGTTCACTCCTCAAATGCCCGCAGTGGCCAGGGCCGGACAGTCGGAAGGTAGGAACCTGGAACTCCATCTGCGTCTCCCAGATGTGTAGCAGAGGCCCAGCCACTTGAACTGTCATCTGTTGCCCCCGAGAATGCATCAGCAGGAAGCTGGGTCAGAAGTGGAATAACTCAAACGCAAATCAGCACTCTAATATGGGATGTGAGTGTCCAAGCAGTGAGGTAAACTCTGTGTCTTAAAAAAAAAAAAAAAACTCTGGAGGAGCTGGAGAGGAGCTGGAGGCCAGCTGCTCAGAGGCCAGGCCGCTGCCTTCCGGCACCTGCTGCTCCTGCTCCTGCGGGGCATCAGCCTCTTCAAAACAAACAAACAAAAACACAAAAAACACTGTCAAATTTTTCTTAAAGGTTTATTTATTTTACATGAAAGTCAGAGTTACACAGAGAGAGGAGAGGCAGAGAGAGAGAGGTCTTCCATCCACTGGTTCACTCCCTAATTGGCCCATGGGGGCACCGGTTTGAGTCTTGGCTGTGCCGATCTGAAGCCAGGAGCTTCTTCCAGGTCTCCCATGTGGGTGCAGGGGCCCAGGGGCTTGGGCCATCTTCTGCTTTCCCAGGCCACAGCAGAGAATTGGATAGGAAGTGGAGCAGCCAGGACTCAAACTGGTACCCATATGGGATGCCAGCACTGCAGGCAGCAGCTTTACCCACTATGACACAGTGCTGGCCCTGCCACAGTGTTTTAAAAAGAGATTTATTTATTTGAAAGGCAGAGTGGCAGAGATTGAGGGAGAAAAAAAGATGTCCATCTTCTGATTTTCTGGTTTACTCCCCAAGTGCCTGCAAAGCCTACGCTGGGCCAGGCCAAAGCTGGGAGTCCAGAACTCCATCCAGGTCTCCCACGTGAGTGCAGGAATCCACGCACCTGGGCCGTCATCTGTTGCCTCCCAGATGCATTAGTGGAAGCTGAATGGGAAGCAGACTACCTGTAACTTGGACCAACACTCTGATACAGCTGCTGGCTGGCCGTCCCAAGTAGCAGCTTAACCCGCTACGCCACAGTGCTTGTCTTAGCAAATTTTTATTGGTCCTCCTCTTGCTTTGACTTTGCTGTGGTAGAAGATCTCTTAAGGAGGTAGAAGGAGAATCAGGATGTTGTGGCCAAGGGAAAAGGATGTTTCAGATGAAGTGGTTATCAGTTGTTCACATATTGCTGAAGGATCAAAATGCAGAGTAAGAGAAAATTGTTTACTTGAATAAGTGGGAAGCTGTATGATCATTCAAAGGGGGATTACAGGGGCCGATGCCGTGGCGTGGCAGGTGGGGCAGCCGCCTGCAGTGCCGGCATCCCATGTGCGCGCCGGTTCGAGTCCTGGCTGCTCCACTTCCCATCCAGCTCTCTGCTGTGGCCTGGGAAGGCAGTGGAGGATGGCCCAAGGTTTTGGGCCTGCACCCCATGGAGGAGACCCAGAGAAAGCTCCTGGCTTCTGACTTTGGATCGGTGCAGCTCCGGCCATTGCAGCCAAATGAGGAGTGAGCCAGCGGATGGAAGACCTCTCTCTGCCTCTCCTTCTCTCTGTGTAACTCTGACTTTCAAGTAAAAAATAATTTCAAGTAAATATATAATTTTTTTTTAAAGAGGGGTTCCAGGCCAGTGCCGTGGCTCACTAGGCTAATCCTCCGCCTTGCGGTGCCGGCACACCGGGTTCTAGTCCCGGTCAGGGCGCCGGATTCTGTCCCGGTTGCCCCTCTTCCAAGCCAGCTCTCTGCTGTGGCCAGGGAGTGCAGTGGAGGATGGCCCAAGTGCTTGGGCCCTGCACCCCATGGGAGACCCGGAGAAGTGCCTGGCTCCTGCCATCAGATCAGCGCGGTGTGCTAGCCGCAGCGCACCAGCCGCGGCGGCCATTGGAGGGTGAACCAACGGCAAAGGAAGACCTTTCTCTCTGTCTCTCTCTCTCACTGTCCACTCTGCCTGTCAAAAAAAAAAAAAGGGGGGGGTTACAGAAGTGGATTGAAGCCAGAGCCAGATCATAAGGCACCGTAAACAGAGACAGCAGAACTGGCTCTGTGGAAAAGCTGCCCTCAAAGGCCAGGAGTGAAGGCAGGAGAAAGTGGAATAAAGAGAGCCGGGGAAAGCAGGTGCCCTTGGGAATTAGTGGGACAAGGGGGGAAGGCACAGGTGAAGGAGTGGAATTTGAAAAATAATGAGGCACGGTTTTTCCTCAAAGTCAAGGAAGCTGATAAAAAGCCACATGGAGAGTCAGGAAATTGTTGATGTGAGTTTGAAGCTGAGTGGTGGTAACAGGCAGTTGCTGTCTTGTCAGGCGTGCCCTGGGATGTAGTGCAACACTAAGGAATGGCTTTTTGGTTGAAGATAAAGATACAGAGAAGGAACTAATGAGGGAAAGAACTACTCCCCCCCCCCTTCTTTTTACCACCCTGTTACCCCATTGCTCATATTCTCTGTTACTGCAGTTTCCGTATCTGTAAAATAAAGGAATTGGATGAAATAATTTCTAACTGTCTGCTTTCTGAAGATGTCCGTGAAAGTTACTCTAGATACTGCATAATTGACCTGAAATGTCCTGATCTTTCATAAAGTACCCTGGACCTTTTTAGGATAATTTCCCTTTGACTAGATGTAATGTGTGAAATACAATTTAGTCAATTAAGAACATTAAAAGTGATTATTCATTTTACATAAAGGGATGCATCATTTTACAAAAAAATTCTTTTGAGCACTAAGATGCCCTGGTGCATTTAGAACAATTCATTTAATATATATGTATAAAAAATTCATCCCCAGCTCTTCAAGAGCATGTAGAAGGAAGAACATTTGTAGAGGTGAAAGTTTAATATGACGTGAAATCTCAGCATCACGCTTTACCTGATAATTTCTCTGTTATTACTTCACTTCATTTAAGCTTCTGCTCAGGGAGCTGGCATTGCCCTGCACTGGGTTAAGCTGCTGCTTGCAAAGCTGGCTCCCTTCTGTTTCCAGTCCTGTGTGCCTGGGAAGGCAGCAGAATATGGCCCAAGTGCTTGGGCCCCTGTCACTCACATGGAGACTAGGGTGGTCTCTGTCTCTGTCTGTCTCCCTCTCTCTCTAATGCTTTTTCCCTCATCAGTTCCTTCTCTGTGTCATATCTTCAACCAAAAAGCCATTCCTTAGTGTTTTACTACATCCCCGGGCACACCTAACAAGAAAGCAACTGCTCTGAACAATAAATAAAATAAATCTTTATTTAAAAACAAAGGCAAAGTGAGAGAAAGAGAGAGAGGTCTTCCATCTGCTTGTTCATTCCCCAAATGGCCTCAACTGCCAGGAATGAGCCAGGCTAAAGCAAGGAGCCTAGAGCTCCATCTGGTCTCCCATGTGGGTAGCCGGGCCTATATACTTGGGCCATCTTCTGCTTTCCCAGGCCCTTTAGCAGGGAGATTGATTGGAGGTAGGGCAGCTGAAACTCGAACCTGTGCTCATAATGGGATGCCAATGTCCCAGACAGTGGTTTAACCGGCTGTGCCACAGTGCCCTCCCTAGGGAGTCCTTTCTAAAAATAACTCCCCATCAGTCTCTATCCTCTTATCCTGTGTCTTTTTTATACCATTTATTACTGGCAGACATTTTATTGTATGTTTATGTCTATATTTCCACCATTGGAATGTGAGATCTAGGAAGACATTGTTTTGTTCATGATATAGTCCTGGTGCCTATAATAGTGCCTGGCATAAGGGAAATACTCAATGAATATTTGTTAAATGGATAAATGAATGAACCAATGAATCTAATTCCATTGTAACTTGTAACAAAATAGTTGTTGAATGCAGAAGGATTTCTAGGGTTCTTATTGGTCATTTCTAGGGTCCAAAGACTACCAGCTGGTCACGTGGTCCCGGGATCAGACCTTGAGGATGTGGCGGGTGGATTCCCAGATGCAGAGGGTATGTATCCAGTGCTCTGCTGGAGAAACAAAACATGCAAGCTTCAGGGTTTGTGGGGGTTAGAGATTGTGGTGGACTTGCGGTTAGCTGAATGGCTTGCGTGTGCCATGCTGAAGCTTCAGGGTCTTTAAGAGCCAGCTTCAGTATTTAGCACTTTAAAGCCAAAGAGCCTCTAAACTTCTCTTTTTCTCCTCTCCTCATATAAAGTAGTATGGGTACCACACTGAGCATATGTCCTGTGGGCTTTACTTCTTTCTTTTACAAATGGACTCAGAATCTTAACCTTGAACTTGGCAAATATTCAGAGCCCTGTCTGCTACCTCTTGTATGAAGCTGTCTCCAGTTTTCCCCCCATAAATGATCTGTTTCTAATAACAGCCACAATGGTACCTGCTGTGAATTACTTTTGAGATCCTTGTTCTACCCTGCCTCACCGTGGGGCTCTGTCTTCTCATTCAGTGACTAAATTCCTTGATGATGAGAACCGTGTCACTTTGTGCAAAGGCATTTCAAAAAGTTGGTGGAAACATGGAAGTGAGAAATAAGTTTATTTTGTTGCAAAAATTTCTAAGTTCATGCATTTGTATTGTATCCTTCCACAGTGCATCACACTGCTTTGCACAGAATGGTGATAAAATGCCAAGAATATTTAATATGAAGTCACACTTGAGCATTTTGGTCAAGGCTCATCATCTTATTGCGTTTTCAGTCTACTTTCTGCAAAAAGTACCATTTGCCCCTAATGCTCTGAGGTTAGGTTAGATTTGCTCTTACATTAGCTGATTAACTCCATTAAAACTTTGATTTTTTTCCTGAGGCTTGCATAAAGTCCTTACATAATGAAAATTTCCAGGGTGAAATAATTGAGTCTATTATACTCTATATTTAACGAGGGAGATCTGGTGATGGGTAAAAGTCTGTTTTGATTGTGTCAGTTGTTGGCTGACACATCTCGATCCCTGTGATTGCTATTTTTAAGTCAAAATGCTCCAGCCGGAACCGATGATGCTTTCCACTGGCTTCTCTAGCTCTGCTTGTTCTCCCCTTTGTTGCAGCTTTGTGCAAATGACATATTGGATGGCGTTGATGAGTTCATTGAGAGCATTTCTCTTCTGCCGGAGCCGGAGAAGACTTTGCACGCTCAAGATGCAGATCAGCAGCACACCTCAAGCCATGGGGAGGAAGAAGGTAGTTTGTGAGGTGCCGCTCCGTGCGTTTCAGAGTTTTAGCAGATATCTGAGAACTGTTCTCTTCGTTTTCAAAACTATTTCCCAACACTGAACTTCTCTCTCCTTGTAGCCCTAAAGGAAGATCCCCCTAGCAGTGTCTTGGAAGAAAGGAAATCAGAGCAGTTGGGCCTGCCCCAGACCCTGCAGCAGGAGTTCTCCCTGATCAATGTGCAGATCCGGAACGTGAATGTGGAGGTACCCAGGACCTGGAAGGACTGCATCTCAGGCTTGCTGACGGCAGCTCCTGGGAGAAGGCTGTTTCCGCTGTGATTTTTGGCTAGCTTTGCTTGCTTTTTTAATTCCTAGGTTTTTCTAAAGAAGTAGGTATTGCCACAAACCAGACATTTTTCCTAATCCTTTCTTTCCTCCCAAGATGAACCAAGAGATAAACCAGTGCTCATGAGCCTTAGCACCTTTGTAGATGCCCCAATATTTCATTTTACCATTTATGCAGGTACTTAAATCTGGGAACGCGAAGTAAGAGACAGGCATTGCTGGGCAAGTTCGAATGGCAGGGCTGACTTGGGAAGCCGTACCTCCTGACTCCCCAAGCCTTCTGTGCTGTGCCCTCTTCCCTTACAAGCTGGTCATCTCCTTTGTGAGTTAGAATCTGAATAAGTAGCCAAAACCTCTGTGCACTTAGCACATGGAACAGTCTCTCTTCTTGGTAGGCAGATATCAAAGTTCTTTACTTTAGGAAATTGAGTCTGGCTCCAGGAAAGAATTTCAAAGCTTGATTAGTTTTACTTTTATGCAGATTCAGTTAATTATGGGCAGAGATGTGTGCTGTTACATAGTTATGTCGCTTGGCCTTTAAAGCAACTCTGTAACGAGTGGTTTTATCCCTGCTTAGCAGATGAGAAAACCAAGATGCCAGGAGATGAAGTGACTTGTCTAAGGCCAGCAGCTGTTTAGTGCGAAAAATAATACTAACCCAAGTCTCCAGATGTCCCATGTGTGTGACTCTTTTCCCTGTACTGCAGCTGTCTTCTCTAGTTTGCAGCACAAGCAGTCAGAAAAATCTGAAGAATCTTTGATTAAATGGGTCTCTGTCAACTCAGTTTATGTTCTTTTAGATTCAATTGAGAACAGAGTGGTTACCTAGTGATCTAGTTTAAGAAAGGGATTTTGATTCTTTTCCCTAGTACTTATTAAAATTTTTTAATTAATTTATTTGAAAGGCAGAGTTACAGAGAGGGAGGAAAAGAGAGAGAGAGAGAGAGAGAGAGAGAGAGATTTTGCATCTACTTGTTCACTCCCCAAATGGCCACAACGGCCAGGCCAAAGCCAAGAGCTTCATCCTGATCTCCTTTGTAGGTGCAGGGTCCCAAACACTTGCACCATCTTCCACTACTTTCCCGGGTGCTTTAGCAGAGATCTGGATTGGAAACAGAGCAGCTGGGACTCCAACTAGTGCCCATTTAGGATGCTGGCATCAAAGTTGGCAGCTCAACCTGCTGCACCACATTGCCAGCCCCTTAAAAATTCTTGAGATATGGGCCGGCGCCGCGGCTCACTAGGCTAATCCTCCGCCTTGCAGCGCCGGCACACCGGGTTCTAGTCCCGGTCAGGGCACCGGATTCCGTCCCGGTTGCCCCTCTTCCAAGCCAGCTCTCTGCTGTGGCCAGGGAGTGCAGTGGAGGATGGCCCAAGTGCTTGGGCCCTGCACCCCATGGGAGACCCGGAGAAGTACCTGGCTCCTGCCATCGGATCAGCGCGGTGCGCCAGCCGCAGCGCGCCTGCCGCAGCAGCCACTGGAGGGTGAACCAATGGCAAAGGAAGATCTTTCTTTCTGTCTCTCTCTCTCACTGTCCACTCTGCCTGTCAAAAAAAAAAAAAAAAAAATTCTTGAGATATAATTCACATGCCATAGGTTTCACCTTTTTAAAGTGTACAGTTTAGTGTTATATAACCATCCTCATGTGTAATTCCAAAACAGTTCATCATTGTCCACATGAACCTTGTTCACATTAGCAGTCACTCCCCATTCCTCCTCCCACAAGGCCCTGACAACTACCACTCTTTCCTGTCTCTATAGGTTTTCCCAGCAGTACTTTTTAAACTGAGTCAGAGTCAGACTATTTAACTTCATCTTAGTCCACCTCACAGCTTTGGGATGAAACTTTTAAAGTCAGAATACTTTCAACTTACTGAATCGTTACTAAAATTTAAAAATATGTTTTGAAAACGAATTGTCGGGCCAGTGTTTTGGAGTAGTGGGTTAAGCCCCCACCTGTAACACCAGCATCCCATATGGGTACTGGTTTGAGTCCTGACTGCTCCACTTCCAATCTAGCTCCCTGCTAATGCACCTGGGGAATGCAGTAGAGGATGGCTCAAGTGCTTGGCTCCCCACACCCACATAGGAGACCTGGATGAAGCTCCTGGCTTCAGCCTGGCCCCACCCCAGCCATTGGGATTGTTAAGGAGTGAACCAGCAGATGGAAGATCTTTCTCTCTCTCTGTCTCTCTCTCCCCCTCCCTCTCTCTCTGTAACTCTGCATTTCAAATAAAATAAATAAATTTTAAAAAATAAATTGTCTTCCAAAACCATTTGACCTTCTAGACCCTCTTGTCTCTCTGACTCAGTTACCAAGGACACACAGCATTCAGTCAGCTGATTTAGATCCTTGTGGCTTTAAAGACCCTTTGTGGTTTGTCTCGATAGCAGTTGTGGGCTGTCTCTTGCAGATGGACGCGGCGGATAGGAGCTGCACAGTGTCTGTGCACTGTAGCAACCATCGAGTGAAGATGCTAGTGAAGTTCCCTGCGCAGTACCCAAACAATGCTGCACCTTCCTTCCAGTTCATCAACCCCACAACCATCACATCCACCATGAAAGCGAAGCTGCTCAAGGTGAGTATCCAGGTTCCCAGATTCTCCTTGCTGGTGTAAGAGAAGGGCTCTGCTCACGGGTATCAGTGTCTCCACTGTGCAGTAAAGTTGAATGAAAGGCATCCATTCCTTTACACTGGAGTGTCAGCAATGTAGCTGCTGTACTTGTCATTCATTTTAGTCCCAGGTTAAGAATGCTGCAGTATAATTTCATTCACATGGAAACAATAATGAAGATGTGTTGGCCGGCTGGCCAGCTGCACAGCTGAGGTGTCTGGGTGGTATGGCCGAGCCTGGCATCTGGTTTTTAACCATGCAGGTTTTAGAAACTTGAAGTGTCAGTTTATGTAGAGCTAAGTGGGCAGCACCTCCATAAAAAAGCCCCGAGCTAGGTGATGACACTTTTATTTCAGTTTGAGCAGTGTCACTAGTGAAGGAACTAAAATGTCCTGACAAACCCAAGCTGACCTGCATGTCATTCATCCTTTACTGGGTTCAAATCACGCGCACTTGATTGTCCTGTCATGTTGGGGGCATATTTCTCAAGTGGTTAAAGGCACTCTGAAATGCCAGTTACTCAGGTTTTGTGGTGTTTGTTCAAAACTTGGAATCTGAATATTTCATTGTCTAGTTTGGACATGTAAAAAAGATTTGTTGGCATAAAACAGTAGGAATAGGAAGTGATTTTAGAGGTCTAATTCAGTGCTGCCCAATAGAAATATAATGTAGGCCACATATAATTTCAAAATTTTTTAAAGACTTGTTTTATTTGAAATACAGAGTTATAGAGAGAGGTAGGGACAGAGCAAGAGAGAGCGGTCTTCCATTGCTGATTCACTCCCCAAATGACTACAGTGGCTGAAGCTGAGCTGATCCAAAGCCAAGAGCTTCTTCTGGGTCTCCCACGTGGGTGCAAGGGCCCAAGCATTTGGGCCATCCTCCACTGCTTTTCCTGGCGCATTAGCAAGAAGCTGGATTGGAAGTGGAGCAGTCAGGACCTGAACCAGCACTCATATGGGATGCCGGCACTGCAGGCTAGGGCTTTTAACCCACTGTGCCACAGCGCCAGCCCTTAATTTTAGATTTTTTATAGCCACACTAAAAAAATGTTTAAAAGAACACAAATTAACTTCAGTAATGTTTTAATTTAATCCAGTGCATCCAAAATACTGTCATGTCAACGTATCAATATACAGTCATTGAAATATTTTAAACATTTTTTTTGTACAAGGTGTTTGAGATCTCACCAATATGTGTGCCTTGACTAAGGAAATGGCTGTTTTAGTAAACTCAGGCCTGATTCTTTCTCAGTGACCCTCCACAGAGGATAGGAGGTGCTGTGCTGTGTTGGGGGTTTTAGACTGAACTATGCATCTCTCTGTGTCACCATTGCTTCTGACCACTTTGAAGAATCAAGGCAGGCAGGAGAAGTGGTGCTCTTCTTGACTCTGCTTTGGGCCTTTTCTAGATCCTGAAGGACACTTCCCTGCAAAAAGTGAAACGCAACCAGAGCTGTTTGGAGCCCTGCCTGCGCCAGTTGGTCTCCTGCCTCGAGTCTTTTGTGGTGGGAAACATGAAATTCTTGTACCAACCTATGCTTTGATGTTTTGTTTCATTTCTTTCCCCCTTAAATCCTGGGCTCCCTGATTTTGTTACAGTGTGTTCTTCTTTTGTCATTCAGTTTTAACCCATTAAGTCCCAATTATTCAATTCTGTGAATAAGTCAATGACATATTTATTTCAAAGTTACCATGAGTGGTATATATTTTGTTCAGTTTAAGTCTTTATAGGTGTTGTAGGTGGGACTTGAGACATAATGGGTTAAAACAAGTTGTGGTTTTTAAAAATTTCAGAACCAAGAAGACAGCGCTTCTAGCAACCCATTTGCACTCCCAAACTCTGTCACACCACCCTTACCGACGTTTGCAAGGGTCACCACTGCCTACGGCTCCTACCAGGATGCCAATATTCCCTTTCCTAGGACATCTGGGGCCAGGTTCTGTGGAGCAGGTTGGTTTCTTTATTATTCTCTGATTCTAGATTTTGAGAGAGAACAGCCAAGAACGTCACACATCCTATGTAAGCATCTTCATCAGAAAATTTCTCGTTGTTCTTATTTCCGTAGTATTACTGTGATCTGATGCCAGAGATGTCCATGGACATATTCTAAGGATTTTCACTAGAACTGAGGCTTAGTTTTATCATTCTTGGATGAACTTGGATTTTAGTCTTTACTCAGAACCCTGATCATTAACAAAGAACAGATCCCCCAGTGGTGATAACACAAAGTATCTGTGGAGGCTTTATCCACCCGCTTGCATCTCCCTCCCACTTCCTGGAGGTTCTGGCCTTTGATCCTGTTAAGGATCTCTGACACCGTGCGTCTTCACGGCTTGTGAAATGAGTCTTATCCTTCCAGAATATGACTAACAGATTCTGCCCTGGAATTTCCGACACCTAGTTTCTTGGTACTGAGGGGCGCATGTGCTGTCTGCTTTTTCAGGTTATCTGGTGTATTTTACAAGGCCCATGACAATGCATCGAGCAGTGTCGCCGACAGAACCTACTCCTAGGTGAGTCTGGGGTTGCAGTAGGCATTCACATTCATGAGTGGACAGAAACCTGGAAAGCACTCCCAGGTTAGTCTTTGGAAAATTTGTTTTAGTCCTCCGTCAGCTCCCATGATAAGATGTGTTCAAGAAAGATCAAGATTCGTTAAATTATATAAAAGCTGAGATTTCTGTGTCAAATTATTTACTCCTAAACCATTAGAAGGAGTAGTTTTGTAAAAGCTATCGGCAAAGCAAAACAAATTCTTTTTGAATGTGGTTTTCCCCAATTGCTAAATATTCTGCATTATCACTTTATGTCACTTGATTAATCAACATTAAATAAAGCTGGAAAAATAACAAAAGATCTTGTATAGTCTCACAACACTAATATGCCACTTCTAGCCAAAAAAAAAGTATAGTTTTTAAAAGTTACATGAGTCGCGTGTTTGAAAATCTCAGACAGTGAGAGTTTTAAATTAAAAAGTGCAAGCCTTTCCTTTCTTTCTCCGTGTGCCAGGAGTGTGACTGTTAACAGCGGAACGTGGTTCTGTCTAGTCTTCACTGCTTTCCTGTCTGTCTGATGCAGCAGATAGGAATGTGGACTTCAGAGCCAAGCTCTCCAGGTTCCTCTTTTGACCCTGATGCTCCATGAATGTGGACACGTTGTCTAAACTGTTAGTGGCTTCCGCAGTAACACGGGACCCGGAAAGCACGACCTCCTTTAGTTGCTGGGGAGGTTACATGAGCTAGCGCTGAGACCACTGCTTGGCACTGAGGAACGCTCGAACTGTGTTTCCTGTTGTGGCCACCGCGATTTTCAGCTTAGAGATTATGTAGTAAACTTCTGGTTCTGCAGTAGGATGATCAGAACCCCTTGGTAACCCTTCCTGCCACAGTCGCCTTCCTGTCTTGGATACGGTATCCTTAGCAGAGCCAAGAAGGAATAGCTGAGGTAACAAGAGAGAAAAAGAACTGAGTGCGGTGTTGCGAGCAGACAGTGACCACTAGCTAGGCTGGGTGACTGCCAGGCTCTGCCACAGCCCAGGCAGCTGAGCCGTTGGCCCTAGGAGAAGTAAGGGTTAAGTACCTCTGCATTACACCAGGTTCCTTATTAGAAAGGCTGAACTGGAAAACAGCAGCCTACTCTTACAGGGAAACGGTGAAATATCTGTAGCTGAACTTTGGGTCAGATGTTCTAATAGGAACGTTTTTCACCCAACAGTACTTTATTGAGGTGTAATTTACAAGACACAAATCTGAAGTATACAGCTTGATGACCAGTACTCAGATCAAGATACGGAGCTTTACCCTCACCGCTCAGAGTTCATGGTCCCTTTCCCTAGCCCTTCACTGCCCAGAGGAAACTGACTTCTGTCATAGTTTAACTTTGCCTGTTCTTGAACTTTATTGAAATAGAATCATGCAGAATGAACTGTTTTGTGTCTGGCTTAATTTGTTTAACTTAATGTTAGTGAAATTGAGCCACATTGCTGTGTGTATCAGTAGTTGCATTATAGGAGTGTAGCAAACTTTGTTTATTCTCCTATTGATGGTATATTTGGGTTGCTTCCATTTTGAGTCTAATAAACCTAGGCATCAAAGTTTTTTGTGGAAATATTAAATTTTCTTTTTATTTTTAAAGATTTATTTATTTACTTGAAAGTCAGAGTTACAGAGAGAGGAGAAGCAGAGAGAGAGAGGTCTTCCATCTGCTGGTTCACTCCCCAATTGGCCAAAGTCAGGAGCCAGGAGCTTCTTCCGGGTCTCCCACGTGGATGCAGGGACCCAAAGACTTGGGCCATCTTCTACTGCTTTCCCAGGCCACAGCAGAGAGCTGGATTAGAAGTGGAGCAGCCGGGTCTTGAACCAGTGTCCATATGGGGTGCCAGCACTTCAGGCCATGGCATTAACCTGCTGTGCCACAGGGCCAGCCTCAAGGAAATATTAAATTTTCTACTGAAGAAGTAGAAGAGCCAGGTCAAGGGACTGGCATTGTGGTGTACCAGGTTAAGCCTCTGTCTTGCAATGCCCGCATCCCATGGGCAACGATTCAAGACCTGGCTGCTCTACTTAGAATCCAGCTCCCTGCTAATGTGCCTAGGAAAGCAACAAAAGATGGCCCAAGTGCATGGGACCCTGCACACACATGGGAGACCCAGAAGAAGCCTTTGGCTCCGAATCCACAGCCTGGTCCAGCCCCGGTCATTGTGGCCATTTGGAGAGTGAACCAGCAGATGGGGGAATTCTCTCTCTCTCTCTCTCTCCCTCCAACCCCCCCCCCCATTCCTCTCTCTGTAACTCTGCCTTTCAAATAAATAAAAAATAAATCTAAAAAAAAAAAATAAAGAATTTCCAAGTCAATAGTGTAAGGAACATGTTTAATTTTATCAGAAGTTGCCAAAAGGTGTGTGTGCACTGGTTGTGCCGTTTTGCTCTCTCATGCTGGTCCCAGTTCTCTCCAAAAGTTGTTGAGGTGGGAGTGTGACGGCCCCTCATGGTGGTTTTACTTTACCTCTCTGGTGGTGACTCTGATGCTGAGGAGATTTTGTGTGCATATTGACCATTTGGGTATCTTTTCTTGTGACGTGTCTGTTCAAGTCTTGCACGTTTTTAGGACGATTTCTTATTTGTGGCAGTTACTGATTTTGCTTGTGTTGGCATATATTATTGATTTTCTCGTTTTTCTTTTTCCCTTCTAATGATTTTTGGTGAATGACAGTTTTCAATTTTGATGATGTACATTTTATCACTTTTTAATATTATGGTTAGTGACTTTTGTATTCTGTTTTAAAAAAACCTTTGCCTGCCCCAAGGTCAAATAAAAACCCAGTGTGTTTTTGTTTTAAAGCATTTTAAATTCCCTACGTAAGATCTGATCTACCTCAGATTAATTTTTGTGTTTGCTTGATGTGAGAGAACGTAAAAGTTTGTTTTCTTCAGTGGGATTGACAGTTGTTCTAGCCCCATTCATGAGATTTCCTTTCTTCCTTGAATTTGTAATAATGACTTTGGTGAAAATCAGTTGACTACATATCTGTGGTCTCTAGACTCTGTATTTTTTTCCTTAAATCTATTTGTCTCTGTTTATGCCAACACTGCACTTACAATGTAGCTTTATGTAGCAAGTCTTCAAATCTGTTAGCATAAGTCCTCCAACTTTATTGTGTTTAGTTTTATGTTGTTGGCTATTCTAGATCTTTTTGCATTTCTGTAGTTATGAACTCAGCTTACTTGTTTCTACAAAAATCCCTGCTCATATTTTGATTAGAATTGTGTTGAATCTATAGATCAATTTGGAGAAAATTAAAGTATTTTTCTTTCTTCTTTTTATTTGAAAGGCAGAGGGAGAGAGAGAAAAAAGAAAGATCTGTCCACTGATTCACTCTCCAAATGCCTCCAACAGCCAGGGCTGAGCCTTGCCGAAGTCAGGAGCCTAGAGCTCCATGTGGATCTCCCACGTGGTTGGCAAGGACGCAAGAACTTGAGACATCAGTCCACTGCCTTCCAGGGTGTGCATTAGCAGAAATCTGTATCAGAAGCAAAGAAGCCAGGGCTTAAACTAGGTGCTTGGATATGGGCTGCACGCATTCCAAGCAGCACCTTAATGACTGCTCCAAGTGCTTATCCCAAACTGACATCTTGATATTATGAAATCTACTAATTCTGTGTCTCCATTTTTGTCTGTCTTCTTTAATTTATTTATTTGAGAGACAGAGAGAGCTCCCATCTATCATCTCACTCTCCCGGTACAACTGGGGCTAGGCCAGACTGAAGCCAGGAACCGGGAATTCAGTCCTGATCTCCCATATAGGTAGGAGGAACCCAACTACTTGAGCCATCACCAGTGCCTCCCAAGGTTGTATTGGCAGGAGCTGGAATCGGGAGCCAGAACCAGGACTCAGAAGTAGGCTCTCCAGAAAGTGACATGGGTATCTCAACTGCTAAGCCAAATATTGCCCTCACTGTGTCTTTTTAAAATTTCTTTTAGCAATATTTTGTATTTTCAGTATACATTTTTCACATTAAGTTTATAGCTGGGGGGCTGGTGCCATGGTGCAGTAGGTTAATCCTACGACTGCTGTGCCAGCATCCCATATAGGCCAGTTCTAGTCCCGGCTGCTCCAGAGATCCAGCTCTCTGCTATGGCCTGGAAAAGCAGTGAAAGATGGCCCAGGTCCTTGGGCCCCTGCACTCACGTGGGAGACCGGGAAGAAGCACCTGGCTCCTTACTTCGATTAGCGCAGCTCCAGCCATTGTGGCCATTTGGAGAGTGAACCAACTGAAGGAAGACATTTCTCTGTGTCTCTCCCTCTCACTGTCTATATCTCTACCTCTCAAATAAAATAAATAAAATCTTAAAAAAAATTGATAGCTGGGTATTTGATATGGTTTTAAAAAATATTGACTTATTTATTCACTTGAATGGCAGAGTGACAGAGAGAATGAGAGAGAGATCTGCTGGTTCACTCCCCAAATGGCCACAACAGCTAGGGCTGGGCCAGGCTGAAGCCAAGAACCCAGAACTCCATCTGGGTCCCTCATTAGGTGGCAGGGGCCCAACTACTTGAGCCATTCTCCACTCCTTTTTCACATACATTAGAATGGAACTGGATCAGAAGCAGAGCAGCTGGGACTCAAAGTGGGTTCCCAGTATTTGATGCCAGTATAGCAAGTAGCAGTTTAACCCATGCACCACAACACTGGCCCCTTGATGTGTTTTGATACTATTATAAATGGGATTTTAAAGATGCCAATTTCCTAAATATTTGCTTCTAATCATTAAAAATATGAGTACAATAGGTTTTTATAGATAGACTTTGTATCTAAATTCTCTTAGTAGTTCTAGTAGTTTGTATGTTCCCTTGGATGCTCTGTGTATATAATCATAGAGCCATTCTGTGCTTCTGCAGATAAAGCAGTTTTCAGTTTGGAAAGTTTTATTTGGTTCTTTTTTTGGCATTTCTATTTTGTCCATCTTTTCCTCATGGTTTCATCAAGTGCTAAGAATAGCACTACTTAGAAATAATGAGGTCTGCAGCCTGTGTGGCTAATTCTCACTTTCAACTACAGATCTCTCTCGGCCTTGTCTGCTTATCACACCGGCTTGATTGCACCAATGAAGATCCGCACAGAGGCTCCTGGGAACCTCCGGTTGTACAGTGGGAGCCCCACTCGCAGTGAGAAAGAGCAGGTCTCCATCAGCTCCTTCTACTACAAGGAGCGGGTAAGTTCCAGAGCCAGGGCCCCTGATTCTTACCCTTTCTCTTGTATTCTCTTTCTTTGTCTCCTTGCCTGCCACACACAGCAGCTAAATTAGTAATAACACAGTAGTCGTTCACTTTCATAATTAGTTCACTCAAGAAATGTCATTGCTCTGTTCCTTTCAGTTGGTTTTACCCATTGTAAATTGTATATGTGAGGGGGAGGGATTAGTTCTTATAACCCATGGTCTTTATTTCCTGTTTAACCCTGAACTTGTAATTCCCATCATTGAGTTGACTCTTGATACTTCAGATGGTATCATTTAGGTTCAGGTCCTCCTTAATATTCTGATGCTTTTCAACAAATTAAGGGAAGTTTCCGAAAGCTTGGAATCTTGATGTACTTGAAACTTCATAGTTGTGGGAAGGTTTTTTATTTTTTAGATTTATTTATTTGTTTGAAAGAGTTACAGAGAGGCAGAGGCAGAGAGAGAGGTCTTCCATCCACTGGTTTACTCCCTAAATGGCGACAAAGGCCGAAGCTGCGCCGATCCAAAACCAGGAACCACGAGCCTCCTCTGGGTCTCTCACGTGGGTGCAGGGGCCCAAGGACTTGAGCCGTCTTCCACTGCTTTCCCAGGCCATAGCAGAGAGCTGGATCAGAAGTGGAGCAGCCGGGACTAGAACTGGCCTATATGGGATGCTGGCACTTAAGGTGGCGGCTTTACCCTCTACATCACAGTGCTGGTCCCGGGAGTTTTAAAGTCATTCTCCAAAGCAAGAAAGGAAGGGAAAAAGGGAGGTAGGGAGGGAAGTACCATTATATTCTTAGAATTGTATCATTGAGTTACACTGAATTTTTTCTCTTTGTATTAATATCACATTAACATGAGAATTGATGAAGAAACACTAAAATTTTAAATTTTCCAGCAAAAGGAAAAGTTAATTTCCAGAAGTTTTTGTACTTTTAAAGTACCCATTTGAATGGACCAGTTTATATGAAAATTCCTGAACTTGTTCTTATTTCCCAGAGTTCTTTAGGAACCCACTGTCCCTAGTTACTAAGCTATCTGAAATCTTTGGAAACAACGTAGAGAATGTTGGCAGAGCGTGGGAAAGATTCTGAGAACTCTTTGTGTTGTTATTAGCTGACATGATGTTTTCACGTTATCACTGAGCTGCTGCACAAACGTGATCAAGGAATTCTCTGTTGCCTGCTAACTGAAAAATAGTGGATTATCTGTAATTGCAATTTGGTTTTAAAAATTTGGATTATTTTAATTAAACAACTTTCTAGCAAGTATTAGAAGTACCTTCACTTCACGTGCAGGGCATTGTCTAACCTTGGCTCACATTGGTGGTTCACCATCTCTGACTTTAGCAGGGGGTTACTTACTTGTGACTGAACTGAGTAGAATCATCTGGTGTTTAAGAGCAGAACAGTCTTCAGCAGAACTCTCCAGGTGAACAGGAAATTGCTTTTTGGTGCCTTCCTGGTCAATTTTCCACAGCCCCATTCCTCCCTCCTCTGGTGGATTTCTGTCCCTCGAGCTGTCATGGACCTCCTTGGAACCGCTGCTAAATTACATCCTCCCCAAGTTCTTCACATTCACAGTGTTAGTTCTTTTTTATTTTCCCACAAGCTAGCAGATATCTGGATAGATAATTTGATAAACTAGTTGGAGCTAAGGTATTCTATTGGCATAAAAACTCACAATTGGATTAATGTGAGAATGTTCTTTACCTTCAGGGCCAAGTTGAGGAGATATTTTGGCAAAGAATAAGTTCTGAATTCCCCTTCAGTTCAGTTCCATGTGCTGCTACTCATTGGGCCAAATGGGTGACCAGTGCTTTTTACTGGTGGTGTGTGTGACACCCATCTCTAGTCAAAATAACCCTAGTTGCTAATGTGAAAGCATTGGTCAAGCCTACGTTCATGTTTTTGGATGGCCTGGCTTCTTTTCGTACAAACACCATTATGATAAAAAAGGCACCAAAGGCACGTGGCTGATCCTGTGCTGTCAGGCAGGCTTTGCTGGGGAGAAAGGAGGGATCGTGTGTTTTACTTTGGTGTAGTTCTCTGTGTGCTCCTGTCTCCTAGTATGAAATCATAAGTGCTCTTGAAATTTTCTTCCAGACAGAGGCCAAATAAAACAGAAGATCTAATATTTTTATAATCTTGTATGACAGTTTTATGTTTTTGTATGACATTTACAGAAAAGTTCACAGAGCATAAGCATATACTTCAATGGTTTGACAGTCACACAGGTCAAGAGAAACCCTTATAAGAACGCTGGAAGCCCTGTAGGAGAGGGGACATATTTTAATGGATGACATGTAGTGATTAATAGACTAAATCATGTGAAATTTCTGATATTTGATCATTTTTGTCTAAAAAAAATTTCCAAACCTAATAGGTTAAGAAGGTAAAAATGTGTTAATTATCTTGTGATGAATTTCAAATAAATTGTCTCTCCTTGAAACATGTTCAAATCCATCTCATTATAAGGCAAAGGGTAGAATTAAGGGAATAGAATATGACCATGGTGTCTTTTTTTTTTTTTTTTTAAGATTTATTTATTTATTTGAAAAGCAGAGTTACAGGGAGGCAGAGACAGAGACAGAGAGAGGTCTTCCATCTGCTGGTTCACTCCCCAGATGGCTGCAACGGCCAGAGCTGAGCCAATCCAAAGCCAGGAGCCAGGAGTTTCTTCTGGGTCTCCACAGGGGTGCAGAGGCCCCAGGACTTGGGCCATCTTCCACTGCCTTCCCAGGCCATGGCAGGGAGCTGGATCACAAGTGGAGCAGCTGAGACTCGAACAGGCATTCATATGGGATGCCGGTACTGCAGGTGGCGGCTTTACCTACTTCACCATAGTGTCAGCCCCAGACCGTGGTGTCTTATATAGGCTACCTTATCTTCCTCACAGAAGTTGATATTCCTTGAGGAATATTTTCTGATCATTAGGTGGGTAGCTTTACCTGTCAGATGATATCATTTTTGTTCTGGAAGTGATTCCAGCTTACTAAGTTCCTTACATCTTCATTTACAACCCCAGTTTTTCTCCTAGATATTTTTATTCTTGTTTAGATCTCTATCCCTCAGAGCTTTAAGTAAATGGCAGTAAGGGACTAGAATATAACCCCATTAAGGCATGTAGCAATGGAGGAATTATGGGATATTTTTAAGATTACAAGAAGTCTTAAGAGCTATTTAGAAAGTGTTTATCTTGTCATTTTTGTGTTTTTTTTTTTTAAAGATGTATTTATTTATTTGAAAGGCAGAGTTACAGAGAGATAGAGACGAGAGAGAGAGAGAAAGATCTTCAGTCTGCTGGTTCACTCCCCCAAATGGCCACAACAGCTAGAGCTGAGCCTATCTTCAGATCTGGTCAGGAGCCAGAAGCTTCTTCTGTGTCTCCCACATGGTGCAGGGGCCCAAGGTTTTGGCCATCTTCTGCTTTCCCAGGTCATAGCAAAGAGCTGGATCAGAATTGGAGCAGCCAGGACTCAAACCGGTGCCCATTTGGGATGCTGGCACTGCAGGCGGTGGCTTTACCCGCTATGCCACAGCGCCGGCCCCTACAAATATTTTTGAAATTTTGCAACCTCCTACTCTTGTATCAGTTTGTTACTTAAATAGCTCTGATATCAATAACTGGGGAGATCTTTAAGTCAACAATATGACTTCTGGTCTCCACACAGTACTGTACATGCCAGTTTCACACTCAGATGCTCGTGTGGTTAGTAAGAGTGCCCTCGAGAGGGAAGCACCTCAGCCTGAGCTCCCCACCTGCCCCATTTCTCGAAGGCTCTGACTTCCCCCAGCATCACTCTGGAGGTTGTCCTTCGGTTCCAGTGTCAGGATGTCCAGTCCCGCCGTTGCCCCCAGCCACATACCAAAGTGTATTTGCTGTGGAGCCTGTTGAAGAGCTTGTTCCTTTCTAGGAATGAGAATGTCTTCTCAGTATGTGTTCTGCAACGCATTAAAGAGGAGACAGAGTTCTCACTGTTCCTCCATTTGCAAGGTGATCTGAGTCCCTGCCAGCAAACCTCAAACCTTGGTTATTCTTTGTCAGACCTGCGGTGACATCAACCTCCTAATGTCTTGAAATGTGATGAGGAACAAGAGAGTTTAAGCTGGATTTGGAGTGTGATGGGTTGGGGGAGGCAAGGGAATCCAAAAATGCTGTGCTTAGGTTCAGACTCCTCAGTCGTTCCAGTTCTGATTTTGCAGTATATTGTGATACCTTTTAATCCATCAGATGTGTGCGAAGCTTTCATTTTATTCTATATTTTCCCCTTTTAATTTTCTTGGTGTTTTTCTTCCCTTTTCCTGGGTATAATGTTTTCACACACAGATGTCTCCTCGCTCTGCCCGGCGACGTTGGTCCATACAAGCAATTAACGACTTCCCGGTACTGTGCGCTGTGCAAATGCTCTCCTTAACTAATCCTGTCTCTACCCAAAGGCCCAAGAATAAAATGCCACCTGCCTGGCTTTGAGGAACCTGAAATGACAGCTGGCTGGTTTTCAGGACCAATAGTCATTGTTTTTGCTCCTGGGGAGCCAGGCACTGGCTCTTTGTTAATTGTGGAGTTCAAGTGGATTGATATTGTTAAGGATCATGAATGGTTCTTTGCAAATTAAACTTAATACTGGGCTTGAAAAGAGACCCAGTTATAAGCCTTTCACTTACCTGATTTCACTTGGAGTGTTTGTCTAATTTTGTGGAGTTTTGCAAAGCCTACCTTTGGCATGGAGAGAGCAGAGGAAGATACAAGAGGCTTCCACCATTGTGTTTGTTTTCATAGTCTTGGTCTAGTTCTGAGAAAGAAGTACTTACCTGCTTCCTTGGCATGACACAGGAGCAAGATTTTATCCTTTGTGAGTTCTTTGCAACTAATATTTTTCCTGACCATCGGTATTTTGCATTGACTGTAAACCTTGCTGTGGACACCCCCTCTTCCTTCTCTTCCTTTCTCACTCCTATTGGCCGTCTCCCCTCTTCTGTCTTCCTCTCCTGTCCCCTTCATGTTTCAGTAGTGCCAAGGTCTCCCCAAGGTGACCTGCTGCTGAGCAAGACAGCCTTGAGGCTTTGTGTAAATTTCATTTGGTGTAAAAAATATTTGGGGGTCTTGTCCCATAGTGCTTTCATATAAAAAACAGTTGAAATCAGGAGCCCCAATTAGCAAGTACGACTGCTGCCAACAACTTGGAGGTGAAGCCCCCAGTGTGGCCACCTTTCCTCAAAAAGCCTGTCCCAGCCAGCTCGACTGCTGAGTTTCCGCTGATCCTTCCAGATACCCCTCCCACTGCTAGTTAAACAGGAGCTCACTGCCCACTCTGCTGATTATGCATTGTTGATGGGGTTGCTGCGAAGCAGTTGGTGGCTTATTCTTGGGCTGTTTGCACATTTAACCCATTTATTGGCATCGATGTTGCCTCCGATTGTAGCAGTGACTCTGGTGGTACAGTCGCAAGCTGGCTGTGGTTGTCATTTAGTGCTGTTTGCACCAGTATCTCCCTCCTGTCCCCTCTACCCACTCCTCTCTTCCCTGTCCTCTTCCCATAACTCCCCAAACACCTTCTTGATTTGTTCAGAGGGGCATCCTAGTGTTCATCACGTAGTGATTTGTCTGTCTTGCTTTGTCTTTCTTCCCTCAGTCCCTTTTCATGAAATCTGTGGGAAAAGGGCATTTTCTGTTAGTGGAACACTGAAAAGACTTAAGGGAAATGCAGAGTCCTTTGTCCACCCCCTGCCGCCCCCAACCCGATTTTACTTTACAGAAGAGAATCCACATTTTAAGTCCGTCTGAGTGAGACCAAACCAACACAAGTGTTGAGGGCTTATACACTGTAGTGCCTTTTCCTAATCTGGAAGAACTACTCACATAGCCTTATCCTAGAGTGTCATTGTTCTCTGAAACCAAAGGCTCCCAAGAGAATTCTGACAGTTGCACATGCAAGAGACACTCCTGAATTGGCCAGCAAAATATTAAGGGAAAATAAGTTTTAGTGGAGCTTGTGAGTTCTTTTCATTAGGTTTTATCAAGTTTATTAGGTTTGCTTAAAAAGTCCGGAAACTCTGGTTATTTTCAGTGTTCTCTGACTGCCGGGAGAGCCCATCCTCCCCAAGGCCTGCATGTATTTCTGCGTGTGGTTAAATGAGCTGTAATGAACTGCTCAGTAGTTCACGGACTTCCCACGGTCACTGCCTAGAACAGTGTTTTAGAAGCCTTCCAATCAACCCAGAAGACCAAATTAGAGAGTACCTATTCCATTCCAGATAGAATTTTTTCAGTGTACATTATTTTTAAATGCAGGCCCTAAATCTCATTTGAGATGACCAGTGTGGAGCTGGTGGGAGTGTTGTTTCCTGGATTTCTAAACTCCGGGAAACTGAAGGAAAATCACAAGGAAGTTTATGTGCATGTTTGCCCTCCCTATGCCAGGTAAACACCTGTGCTGTTCACTGTCACCACAGGGTTGACACACATTATGCTCTCCTCCCTAAAAAAGGTTGTGTGGTTGTAGTTAGTGCATGGATGACTGCATTTGTCTTATGTCAGTTATCACTGTCTGGCTCCAGCCCATTCTGACAGCTTGTTCATTCTTTCACATATCTCCCTTACACCCAAAGCAGGGTGTTTGTGGCTGAAAGGGGTTGTGTTAAGTGTATGCACATAATTCTTCTCTAGAAAAGACCCAGGGCAAATAGAGATAGGAAGGGCTACCTCGAAGTAAAAGGTTAAACTCCCCCTGTGGTGCAGATTAATGATAAATTATATGTGGATAAACAGTAAATAGTGACTAAACTGCTGCCCATGCTCAAATGGTTGAGGTTCAAGTTGATAGAGTAGCATATGCAATTATAAATTATGATAAACAGTTCACAGATACCCTGAACTGAGTCCAGGTGTCCTGGACTGAGTAGGTTCCAAGATACACAATAATCCTATAGGAGGATACATGCATTGGGCGACTTTGGGAATTAGATATGACATCAGTGGTCAGAATGCCTGAATTCAGACAAAGATTAATTCATGGAAGAGTAGAAATATAAAAATCGTTATGGATAAACGATTAATTTGTGAGCTTTCTAAATAATTACCTGATTCAAATTCCTGAGAATGAATACATTCATGACAAGTATACATTTTTCATTTCCCACAGTTTGCGCTTACTCCTTTTCACTGTGCTCTATTAACCCTGTGAAATGGGAATGTCAGAACTCATCACTAGCCCCAAGTTACTAGTGATCAAAAAAGAAAGTTGACATCCGTGAGACTAAGTCATAGCAAATAAGTAGCTTGCCAGACATGTGGAAGTGCCCATGGTTTCTAACTCCAAACTGCAGGCCCCTTTCACTTGTTTGTCTTGCCTCCTTTGTTATAAATAACTCTCCTACCCCCAATACAATATACACTTTTTTTTTTTTTTTGACAGGCAGAGTGGACAGTGAGAGAGAGACAGAGAGAAAGGTCTTCCTTTGCCGTTGGTTCACCCTCCAATGGCTGCCGCGGCCGGCGCACTGTGGCCGGCACACCGCACTGATCCGATGGCAGGAGCCAGGTACTTATCCTGGTCTCCCATGGGGTGCAGGGCCCAAGGACTTGGGCCATCCTCCACTGCACACCCTGGCCACAGCAGAGAGCTGGCCTGGAAGAGGGGCAACCGGGACAGAATCCAGCACCCCGACCGGGACTAGAACCCGGTATGCCGGCGCCGCTAGGCGGAGGATTAGCCTAGTGAGCCGCGGCGCCAGCCACAATATACACTTTTAAAAAGATTTATTGGGGTCAGCTCTGTGTCACAGCAGGTTACTGTGCCAGCATCCCATATGGGCGCTGGTTTGAGTCTCAGGTGCTCCACTTCCAATCCGGCTTCTTGCTAATGTGCCTGGGAAAACAGCAGAGGATGGCCCAACTCTTTGAGCCCCTGCACCCACGTGGGAGACCTGGAAGAAACTCCAGGCTCCTGATTTCGATCTAGCCCAGCCCAGTTGTTGCGGTCATTTGGAAAGTGAACCAGTGGATGGAAAATTTCTCTCTCTCTTTGTAACTCTTCTTTTCAAGTAAATAAATACATTTTAAAAATGAAGATTTATTTATTTGAAAGGCAGAGAGAAAGTGAGAGACAGAGAGATCATCCATCCACTGGGTTACTCTCCAAGTAACCACAATGGCTGGGGCTGGGTCAAGCTGACATCAGGAGTAAGGAACTCCATCCAGGTCTCCCACGTGGGTGGCAGGAGCTCAAACACTTTGGGCCATCATCCTCCTTGTCCCAGGATACTCATTAGCAGGAAGCTGAATCAGAAGTGTGGAGTAGCCAGGACTTAACCCAGTCATTCTGAAGCAGGGTAAGGGCATTCCAAGTGACAGCTTAACTCATTGCACCATAAGGCCTGCCCCTGTTGCCCTCTTTTGAGTTGAATTACTTGGTTCCCCCTTTTAAATTTTTGGCCATAAAATAAAATGAAGTATTACTCCCTTGGCTGGTTGTTGTCTGAGGATTCCAGATGGGGCTACACTTTGATAATTCTCAGTTTCAAGACACCTCTCCTTTTACACAAGCAGTCTTCTCACACGCGTAACCACTCAGAAGGCAGCCCCTAGGGAAATGGGACACTTGTTCAGGATCTTCCATATCCCCAAGTCCCTCTACTCACATATTAGCATCCTGAGTTGACCACTCCTAGAAATAGTTCAAGTCTGCTGGGAGAACAGGGTAATTTCCTCAAGCTGCTAAATATCTCTGTCTTCCTGCCACAGATTAAGGTTTGCAGAGCACACTGCCATGTCTGAGTTAAATTTTCAGCAAACCCTGTTGAAATTGGGAAGAAAAAAAACCTGATTAATTTCATGCAAGAACTTTGAATCTGGTACTGAACTCAGCCTTAAAAGTGGGTCTCCCACATTTTTGTGGTTGTTACTAACTTATTTATCTGCTATTTTTAATTAATTAATTAATTCGGGCTTCTGGGTGTCTATTTGTGAGCACCTGCAGAATGTATATAGCCCTGAAGTAGGTGCTTATTTTCCTGTTAGGATTTTGGATCAAGAACTCAATGCCCTTTGTCATCCTTCTTTTTCCTACAGATGCTGATTCATATAATTGTGGGCATGATGTAATTTAAAGTCTGCAAATTACCAATGACCCAAATATGATGTGCTTTGCTCTGCCACTGTAGGTTTCCACTCATCGGAGTCCCCATTACTTATATCTTGTCATCTCCCCCAGAAATCAAGGCGATGGAAAAGTAAGCGGGAAGGATCGGACTCTAGCAATCGACCCATCAAGGCGGCTGGGAAAGTCATCATTCAGGATGTCGCGTGCCTCCTTCCTGTCCACAAGTCCCTGGGAGAGTTGTACATGTAAGTTCATGATTTGAAGTATCACTTAGTCAGGACTAGCAAACTTCTGTTGTCTTAAGTGTTGGATACCAAGGTACAACTGTAGTGCATACACAGTATACTAGTGTGTTAGAAATCATAGCCAGGGGGCTGGTGCTGGGGCAGAGTAGGTTAAGACACCACCTGCAGCGCTGGCATCCCATGTGGGTGCTAGTTTGAGTCCTGACTGCTCCACTTCTGAACCAGCTCCCTGCTGGTGTGACTGGGAAGGCAGCAGAGGATGGCCCAGGTCCCTCGGCCCCTACCATCCACATGGGAGATGAAAGAAGCTCCTGGGTCAGCCTCTGTCATTTAGGCCATTTGGGGACTGAACTAGAGATGAAATATTTCTCTTTCTCTATCTTTCCTTCTTTCTATAACTTTAAAATAAAAAAAAAAGAAATCACAGGGTTATATGCATTTAAACCCATTTGCAGTTTTTTAAAAAATATGTATTTATTTGAGGTGGGGTAGAGGAGAGAGAAGAGGAAAACTCTTCCATCCACTTGTTCCTTTCCCAGACGCCCTCATTGGCCAGTACTAGGCCAAGCTGGGAATGCAGCCCAGGTCTCCCACTTGGGCGGCAGGAATTCAATTGCCTGAGCCATCTCTGCCGCCTGCCGGGGTCTGCATTAGCAGGAAACTGGAGTCAGCAACTGGAGCCAGATGTCAGCTCCACGTGCTCTGATGTGAGATGTGGGTGTCTTAACCACTAAGCTAAACACTCACCAAGTCTACTTTTATTCAGCTCTCAAGTCTTGAGAATACCACAGAAAACCTGCTTGGCAGATAGGTATTTGAGTATGATCTGCTCTTCTGACTTCAAAGTTGTGATCAGGGGCTGGAGTTAGGGCTCAATGTGTTAATCTGTCACTTGGGATACCTACATACCTTACCAGGGTACCCTTGGATCAAGTCCCACCTCTGCTTCCAGTCCAGTTTTCTGCTAATGCACCTGAAAGGCAGCAGATGGTGGCCCAGGTACCTAAGTCCTTGATACCCACATTGGAGACCTGGATCGTTCCTGGCTCCTGGCTCCTGGCTTCAGCTGGCCCAGCCCAGGTTATTGTGGACATTTTAGGAGTAAACTAGCCTGTGAAAAATCTCTGTCTCTCCACCTCTGTCTCTCACTCTGCTTTTCAAATAAATAAATAAATAATTAAAAAAAAAAAAATTGGGGCCAGCATTGTGGTACAGAGGTTAAGCTGCTACTTGTAATGCCAGAGTCATATATGAGTGCCAGTTTGAGTCTCAGCTGCTCCACTTCCAATCCAGACCCCTGCCAATGGGAAAGCAGCGGAAGGTGGTCCAAATACTTGGGCCACTGCACCCACTTGAGAGACCCAGATGGAGTTCTGGCTCCTGGTTTCAGCCTGGCCCAGTCCTGACCATTATGGCCATTTGAGGAGTAAACTAGCAGATGGAAGATCTCTCTCTCCCTCTGTAACTGTGCCTTTCAAATAAAATAAAATAAATTTTAAAAAAAACAAAAAACATCTGTAAGCATTTTCACCTTTCCTATGCCAGAACCAACAGCTGTATTAGCATCAGCTCTGGTTAAACTTTTCCTCCAGGTCAGGTAGAAAGGGAGCTTAAGGCCAACACAGAATAAAACTTAGAGAGAGAGAGAGAGAGAGAGATTTATGTATTTATTTCTTGAAAGGCAGAGCAACAGAGCGGGCAGAGTGGGGAGGAGTGGAGAGAGATCTTCCATCTTTTGGTTCACTCCCCAAATAGCCACAGTAGCCAGGGCTGGGCCAGATGAAAACCAGGAGCCAGAAATTCCATCCAAGTCTCCCACATGGGTGGCAGGAGCCTAAGTACTTGGGCCATCTTCTGCTGCCTTCCCAGGTGCATTAGAAGAAAGCTGGATTGGAAGTGGAGCAACTGAAACTTGAACCTGTCTCTCCCATATGAGATGCCATTGTCACAAGCAACAGCTTAGCCCACCTCACCACAAAATCAGCCCTTAGAGGGAAGGAAAAAAACACATTTTGAGTGAGAGCCAAAGAGACATTTTATAGTCTCTCTGTTAAAACAGGAATAATTGATTTAGCAAGTGAGAACACTTTTATTCTTTTGAAACATTTTCAGATTGAATGTGAATGACATTCAGGAAACGTGTCAGAAGAATGCCACGTCGGCCTTGCTTGTTGGAAGAAAGGATCTTGTTCAGGTATTACACGTATCTTTTGACCTGGCTTTTCTTTAAGAGCAGGTTGTCTTCGCTTTGTAGTTGGCATCCTTGCTGTTTTGCAATCCCTGTAGCTAGAGCAGTACTCCGAATCCCCTGGACGTTCCTGCTGTGCTTGGTTGGGAAGGTGCTAAGGCACTGCCTGAGGGCTTGGTCTGTTGGCTGTTTTGACTTTTTCTGTCCCAGCTCCATGGTGATTGTTGTACACCTAAATTTGGGTTTCTGCTTTTTGCCATTTGCACTCTCCCCACCCCCAACTTTTTTTTTTACTTTAAAAAGTGCTTCATTTCATAATAGATTTACCAAAGTATTCCTTTAGGTAGAGATGTTGAGTTTTAAAATATGATTTCATCTTACAAAAGTTTAAGCTTCCTTCATTTTTATAGGAAACATCAATATATTAAAACAAGCTGCTTTTATGTTGTTTTTAAAATAGCTTTATTGAGATATAGTCCAAATGCCATGCAACTTAGCTATTTAAAATGTACCATTCGGCCGGCGCCAAGGCTCACTAGGCTAATCCTCCGCCTTGCGGCGCCGGCACCCCGTGTTCTAGTCCCGGTTGGGGCGCCGGATTCTGTCCTGGTCGCTTCTCTTCCAGTCCAGCTCTCTGCTGTGGCCGGGAGTGCAGTGGAGGATGGCCCAAGTGCTTGCGCCCTGCACCCGCATGGGAGACCAGGATAAGTACCTGGCTCCTGCCATCGGATCAGCGCGGTGCGCTGGCTGCAGCGCTCCGGCCGCGGCGGCAATTGGAGGGTGAACCAACGGCAAAGGAAGACCTTTCTCTCTGTCTCTCTCTCACTGTCCACTCTGCCTGTCCAAAAAAAAAAAAAAAAGTACCATTCGATGGTTTTTAGTATGCTCAGAGTTGTGCAGTCATAACCACAGTCTTAGGATATTTTCTTTGCCCCAAAAGGAGCCTCTGTGCCCCTTAGCTGTCACTACTCAATCCCTTCTTCCCCTGGGCTCCAAGTGACTTCCAATTGACTTTTTTTTTTTTTTTTTTTTAGGAGCAGAGTGGATAGTGAGAGAGAGAGACAGGGAGAAAGGTCTTCCTTTGCCGTTGGTTCACCCTCCAATGGCCGCTGCGGCCGGCGCACCGCACTGATCCCTAAGCCAGGAGCCAGGTGCTTCTCCTGGTCTCCCATGCGGGTGCAGGGCCCAAGCACTTGGGCCATCCTCCACTGCACTCCCGGCCACAGCAGAGAGCTGGACTGGAAGAGAAGCAACCAGGACAGAATCCGGCGCCCCAACCGGGACTAGAACACGGGGTGCCGGCGCTGCAGGCGAAGGATTAGCCTAGTGAGCCGCGGCACTGCCTCTTTTTTTTTTTTTTTTTTTTTTAAAGATTTATTTATTTATTTGAAAGGCAGAATTGCAGAGAGGCAGAGGCAGAAAGTCTTCCATCCATTGGTTCACTCCCCAAGTGGCCACAATGGCCGGAGCTGGGCCGATCTGAAGCCAGGAGCCAGGAGCTTCTTCTGCATATCCCACACAGTTGCAGCAGCCCAAGGACTTTCCCAGGCCGTAGCAAGGAGCTGAATCAGAAGTGGAGCAGCTGGAATTGAACTGGTACCCATATGGGATGCTGGCATTGTGGGCAGTGGCTTTACCCTCTACACCATAACACTGGCCCTGATCCATTTCTTCCTTGCAAGATTTATTTATTTATGTATTTGAAAGTCAAAGTTAGAGAGAGAGAGAGAGGTCTTCCATCCACTGGTTCACTCCCCAATTGGCTGCAATGGCCCGAGCTGTGCCAGTCTGAAGCCAGGAGCCAGGAGCTTCCTCCAGGCATCCCATGCAGGTGCAGGGGCCCAAGAACCTGGGCCATCCTCCACTGCTTTCCTAGGCCATAGCAGAGAGCTGTATCAGAAGTGGAGCAGCCAGGACACGAACCGGTACCCATATAGGATGCTGGCACTACAGGCGGCGGCTTTACTCATTCGCCACAGCACCACCACCACCACCCCACCTCCACCCCTGATGTGTTCCTGAAGGACCCAGCCCCCTAGGTTCTGGGAATACTAAGGTGAAAGGAGGTAGTAGAGACAGCACAGAACTTTGAGCAGGAGGCCTGGGTCCAGCCCAGCTTTCTAGCCAAGTAGTCCTGGGTAGAGTATTTCAGACTCCCTCAGTCTCTGTGTATGTTCATGCAATGGGAAGCCCAAGCTAATTACCTCAAAGAGTTAGTGTGAAGATTGGTGAATGCAGTACCAAGGCAGGCCCCAGGTCCATGTTCTGAAAGAAAAAAGCTCTGAGCAAAAGTTAGTTGCTAAGGTTTTAAAAAGTTTTCAGTGTGTTTCTGGTCTGGCTGATCTGGAAGGGTAGAGCAGTCCAGGTGAGCTGGGAGCACTCTGTGTTCAGGCAGACCCGGCCTAACCCTGAGCCCTGGCACTTTTTGTTGTGTGATTCTAGGCAAAGCAGCGAATCTTTCTGAAACTCAGTTTTCCAGCTGTGAAGTGGAACAGTACTTCTGAAATCATTGTGAGGACTTAACCGCTTAGGTGGTGAAGTCGCTAGCCGTATCTGGCAGAGAGTGAATGCCCAGCGTGCTACAGCTGCTGTCTCGGCAGTTATCAGTTGCCGCACACTGGTTCCTTGCACAAGAAATGACATCAGTGGAAATGTTTGACCATTTTTTTTTTATCCTTTCTGCCCGTGTTGAAGATAAAGTGTTTCCTTGAAGTGAGGGCATAATGTGCTAACGTGTTAGCCGGTGTACTGGATCTCCTGTCCCGTCCCAGGGAGTCACTGGCCTCTTTTAGCAGCCATTCAGGCAGCTCACTGATGGTAGAGGTGAATGTAAGCTTCAAGTTTCTCCTTGTAAACAGTGCTTGTCTGCATTTCCCAAGGATGTTGATGCAGACATGGTGTTTCCTGTGTTTCAGTGGTTTTATTTGCTTTTTCTTCTTGGGTTAAAAGCTCCTGGTTCAGAGTTCCTATCTTCTTCCTCCCAAGCTTCTCATGGAGTGTGGAGTGTGTTGTATTGGTTTCCAGTTAGTGGACATACAGTGATGTACTGCTCCTAAGAGTTTCTATAACAGTGTTCAATCTTTAGAGTAGAGAGGATGAAGCTTTGTTTACAGTGTGTTATATTTAGTGTATGCCATGGAGTTGATGGACTTTGAGGTTTTTTTTTTTTTTAATATTTTTATTTATTTATTTGAGAGGTAAAGTTACAGACAGTGAGAGGGAGAGACAGAGAGAAAGGTGTCCCCAAATGGCCACATGGCCGCAGCTGGGCCGATCTGAAGCCAGGAACCAGGAGCTTCTTCCAGTTCTCCCAGTGGGTGCAGAGGCCCAAGGGCTTGGGCCATCTTCTGCTTTCTCAGGCCACAGCAGAGAGCTGAATCAGAAGTGGAGCAGCCGGGACTAGAACCGGTGCCCATATGGGATGCCAGCACTGCAGGCAGAGGATTAACCTGCGCCACAGTGCTGGCCCCAGAGTTGATAGACTCTCTCTCTCTTTTTTTTTTTTTAAAGATTTATTTATTTATTTGAAAGAGTCAGAGAGAAGGGGAGGGAGGGAGGGAGGGAGAGAGAGAGAGAGAGAGAGGTCTTCCATTTGCTGGTTCACTCCCCAATTGGCTGTAATGGCTGGAACTTCACCCATCCGAAGCCAGGAGCCAGGAGTCTCCTCTGGGTCTCCCATGCGGGTGCAGGGACCCAAGGAGTTGGCCCATCTTCCACTGCTTTCCTGGGCCATAGCAGAGAACTGGATTAGAAGTGGAGCTACTGGGGCTCAAACCAGCACCTTATGGGATGCTGGCACTGCAAGCGGAGGCTTTACCTGCTATGCCACATTGCCAGGCCCTTTGATAGACTCTTACTGGACATCAGTTTCTTTCTGCTGCTTATGGCTCCAGATGCCATGAGCCTTCACAGTATTCCTCAGATTTGGTATCCGCAAAATAAAGCCAAATATGTTTTATCTTGACTTTTTTTTTTAAGCTTCAGAGAGTAAACAAACTTTGGTAATGAAGGCAACAAAGTTGTGAGTGAATAAAGAAAGACATTAAAGGAGGGGCTGGCATTGTGGCATAGCTGGTAAAGCTGTGGCCTGTGACACCAGCATCCTATATGGGCACCCAGTCATATCCTGGCTGCTCCACTTCCTGTCCAGCTCCCTGCTAATGGCCTGGGAAGAACAGAAAACGGCCCAAGTCCTTGGGCTCCTACTACCTGCATGGGAGATCCAGATGAAACTCCTGGCTCCTGGCTTCAGCCCTTCCTCCTTGCCAACCTAGTTTTATAATAAAACATCAGGAGAAAGTCATACGAGTTAGCAGCTAGATGGATGGCCCGTTGAAATGAGCATTGTGCCATTTCTCTGGCGTTCACGTAATGAAAGGTTTAAGACTGGAGTTTCTCAGGCTTTGCAGTGCACTCAAGTCTCCTCAGGACTTGTGAAATGCAAATCCTGATTCTGTAGTCTGCGTAGGACCTGACCTTCCAAATTTCCGCAGACTCCCGGCTCTGCCACCTTCCGAGCAGTAAGGCCAGAGGCTGCATGTGGAGCTTCAGCGGGCAGCCTTGACGGGTTTTTCTTCCTGCCATCATCGATTTGAGTGTTTCTCTTTGTTCTTTCCAGGTTTGGTCGCTGGCTACTGTAGCTACAGACCTTTGCCTTGGTCCCAAGTCTGACCCAGATTTGGAAACACCTTGGGCTCGACATCCATTTGGACGACAGCTGCTGGAGTCCCTGTAGGTTTCCAGAGTGCAAATGATGTCCATTTTAGGTCGGTAAACCCTGTGTTATTGCCTGAGAGACAGGTGCAGAGGTCTAAGGAAAGAGAGGAAGAAGTAGGCTCTTTTGTTTTGGTACTGAAATCATTTTTGTGCAGAACCAACTTCTTTTTCTTTTTTTTTAAATATTTATTTATTTATTTGAAAAGCAGAGTTACACAGAGAGAGGAGAAGGGGAGAGAGAGAGAGAGGTCTTCCATCTGATGATTCACTCCCCAATTGGCCGCAGTCGCTTGGAGCTGCGCTGATCTGAAGCCAGGAGCCAGAAGCTTCTTCTGGGTCTCCCACGTGGATGCAGGGGCCCAAGGACTTGGGCCATCCTCTACTGCTTTCCTAGGCCATAGCAGAGAGCTGGATCAGCAGTGGAGCAGCCGGGTCTCGAACTGGCGCACACATGGGATGCCAGCTCATCAGGCCAGGGCATTAACCTGCTGCACCACAGCACCGACCCCAGAACCAACTTCTTACAGCAGAAGGAACTTTACAGTATTTGTCATTTTTAATAAAAGGATCTGAGACACCTGAGGCTTTTATGCTTGTAAAAGGATTTGAGACACCTGAGGCTCGGATGTCCTTTAGCGTTTCACACATATTCCTTGAATCATTTAATGTGAACACAGGAGTTTGAGCCTTGAAGTGGTTAAGTTTCTTTTTGGCTCCTGAGAACAGATTAGAGACATGTTCATTGGCATTCATGTTTTCCAAAACCCATCATCAGGCAACTCATGAAAACATTGGCTTTATGCTGAATTTATTGTGTTGAAAATGTGGCAAACTGGAATTACAATACATAAAATAATTTACCACCAAGTAAAATAAAATTCCTTGATCTCCGTAACACTGAGGCCCAGAGCCAGGGCCCAGAAACTCTGCTTCCTTCAGGATGAGGGCCACTCTGCCTACTTGTTGAGGGCAGGCCTGGGACCTCTGTTCCTGCTGCTGTTGCCTCGTGGCTCATGCTCTTTCCCCTCCTTCATGTAAGGCTATAATTCAGGAAGAGTGAAGACTCCTAAAATATTAGATAGAGTGACAGGACAGTGTCAGTGGCACTCCATCACAACTGCAGAGGCCGTCTGATCCCCCGCTTGCATGTTCTAGCTTGGTGGTCCTCACAGGACAGAGCAAACACGAGTCCCTATAAGGTAAAAATATTCCTTGTTGTGCGTATTTAATAGCTCATCTTCGTAATTCTCACCTCTAGAGTGTGCTGACCATGCCGTGGTGTGACAGTGTTCTCTAAGCCCCTTCGTATAACTTTAGGTTCCCTGAGTGACACGTAAAGGAAACTACCAAAAAGCAGCGTGCCTCTTTCTTGGAGACAGGGAGACTGAGAGAGCAAGTTTAGCCTCACCCATTTGTAATCTGCTCAGTTCTTGGAGAATCTACATTCGAGTTTGAATTATGCCTGGATACCAACCTGAAGCTTTCAGATTTCAGGTTATCAAGGTCATTTCTTTCTTTCTTCCTTTTTTTTTTAAAGATTTATTTATTTATTTGAAACTCAGAGTTACACAGAGAGAGGAGAGGCAGAAAGAGAGAGAGAGAGTCTTTTATCCGCTGGCTCACTCCCCAGTTGGCCACAGCAGCTGAAGCTGCGCTGATCTGAAGCCAGGAGCCAGGAGCTTCTTCCGGGTCTCCCACGCAGGTGTAGGGGTCCAAGGACTTGGGCCATCTTCTACTGCTTCCCCAGGCCATAGCAGAGAGCTGGATTGGAAGTGGAGCAGCCAAAGTTTGAACCAGTGCCCACATGGGATGCCAGCACTGCAGGCAGTGGCTTTACCCACTATGCCACAGCACTGGCCCCTTAAGTCATTTCTAATACTTTGCTATTTTTATTCCAAAATAAATTTAACCAAACTCCAAGTAGTTCAGACCATGAGGTCTATAGAAAGCCCCAGATACTGACAGATTTTAGAGCAGAATTAACCATCCTGCCAGCCTGCCCCTAAGGCAGTCGCCTGCCCTGCTGGTGACGTCGTTCCCCAGCCCCTCTTGATGTGTTTTGTCTCCCCTCGCCCTTTCCTTCAGGTTGGCTCATTACTGCCGGCTCCGGGACGTGCAGACCTTGGCCATGCTCTGCAGCGTGTTTGAAGCCCAGTCTCGGCCACAGGGAATACCACATCCCTTCGGGCCGTTTCCCAACCGGTCCTCCACTCTAGTGGTGTCCCACAGTCGCTATGTAAGTGTGCGGTGTCCTTGTTTGTCTGGTGTTTGTCCTCGCGTAAACTCCCTGTGCGCGGAGTCCTGATGCCAGTCCTTTTTGTCCCTCTCCCCTCTGCAGCCCAGCTTTACGTCCTCTGGCTCCTGCTCCAGTATGTCGGACCCGGGGCTCAGCACGGGGGGCTGGAACATAGGTTGGTATGCAGATGACGCTCAGCACGGGGCGGGGCCTGGAACATAGGCTGGTATGCAGATGACGCTCAGCACGGGGCGGGGGCTGGAACATAGGCTGGTATGCAGATGACGCTGGGGGGGCGGGGCCTGGAACTTAGGTTGGTATGCAGATGACGCTCAGCACGGGGCGGGGCCTGGAACATAGGCTGGTATGCAGATGACACAGCCCTCACTGCTGTTCAGCCTCTACAAGCTGTGTGCGTGTGCTTCACGCGTGACCCTCAGTGGGTGCCTGTTCTCCACACCTTTCCCTGATTCTCATGTCTCTCTCAATTTTACGGGCTGGGATAAGCCCGGCCTGCGTGGTGGACAGGCCACGTCTAGTAGATCCCTGTGTCTTGCTGGCTTGCTTTTCATCTCATAACCTGGACAAGCTGACAGTGGGACTTCCCCAACCCAACCGTTGTCCTTCCTCCTCCACGCGCCTTGTCCATGATTGCCGCCACTTCCTGTCACCTGTCTCTTCCCAGGACCATCAGTGCAGAGCAGTAAGACTGGGCCTGGCTCCAGCTGGCCATAGTTTGTTTCATGAGTAGGTGTATTTGTGTTTCCTGGGTTTTAAAATTTTCTTTTCCAAAATGATCCTAATTTTCTTGATTATAAAAGTAGTATATTCCCCATGAAGATAGGTACACAAACGGTATTGGGGAAGAAAACAGTAATCCTTGATCCCACACTTAGGAATATTAACTGTTAACATTCCAGAACATTTCCTCTTACCTGTGTGTGGGTTTGGCCTTTCTATATATGTAATTTTTATGTTCCAGCTTTAATTTTATCACAAGCATTTTAAAAATCTTTATAAATTATAACTGTATAACATCCTGTTATATCACTAGACCATAGTTGGCTTAATTATCCATGAGTATACTTAATTACCAGGTTCTGTTAATAATGAATACCTGGACAAAAAGGCAAGGCGCTCAGGAGAAAATTGTGTTTTGTTCTGTTTCTCAGAATCCCCAGCTCAGCCTGTTTTCCCTAGGAAGTCATTCGCACACACACCAGGTTGTGAGGGTCTGCACCCTGTCCTTGGCCTCTGATTGCCGTATTCCCCTGGCTTGGTTTTCTTCAGCGGGCAGGGAGGCAGAGCACATATCTTCACCCTGGGGAGAGTCTTCTCCTGAAGAGCTCCGCTTTGGGAGCCTGACCTGCAGTGACCCTCGGGAGCGAGAACGCGACCAGCATGATAAAAACAAAAGGTAACCTCCTTCGTCAACAGGAGCACCTGTCCAGAACCCTAGATCCTCCCAGACTGAGACTCTTACTTTCACAGAGGTCTGTTGGGGTGGGCATTGTGGCACACTGGGTTAAGCTGCTGCTTGGGATGCCTGCATCCGTATCGGAGTGTGAGTTCGAATCCTATCTGCTCCACTTCCATTCTAGCCCCCTTCTGATGTGCTTGGGAAGTAGTGGATGGTGGTTCCAGTGCTTGAGTTCTTAGCATCCCTGTGGGAGATCCAGCTGGAGTTCCCAGGCTCCTGACTATAGCCTGACCCAGTCCTGACTGTTGTGGCCATTTGTGGAGTGAAGGAGCAGATAGATTCCTCTCTCTCTCTCTCTCTCTCTCTCTCTATCAAATAAATACATTAATTAATCTTTAAAATTAAAAAAGTCTATTTGGCATCCAGCTTATTTTTCTTAAAGGAACTAAAAGTAAATCTTTTGCTTTTCCTGCAGACTTCTTGACCCCGCCAATACCCAGCAGTTTGATGACTTTAAGAAATGCTATGGGGAAATCCTGTATCGGTGGGGTCTGAGAGAAAAGCGAGCAGAAGTGCTGAAGTTTGTCTCCTGTCCCCCTGATCCGCACAAAGGGATTGGTGAATATGAATTTCTTTCTTTTCCTGCCATTGTCTGGAATGTTCTATGATTTAGTTTGCTCACAACATCATGCTTAAAATGAAATTTTAGCTTCCCATTTATAATCAAGTTTCTGAGGTATTTTGAATCTGTTCCAAGGTTCTGAAAACTTGCATTTTATAAGATTAAATTTTAGTTGTGAAAGAAGTGGATTTATAGACAGGGCTGAGCTATCGATTGGAAGTAGTGACACTTAATCATTTATTCAACTAATATGTACCAAACTCCTCTTAGGCACAGGATTCACACATTCCTTCTCCCGGTGGAACTCAGAGCTGAATAGGGGAGAAAAACTAAATAATTACAAATTGTGATAATATTAGCAAACACGATATTGGCAGGCTGAATAGGGAGAATTTTGAAGGACACGATGAAGTGTAAGGGGAGGGACTCTCTGAGGGTCTGAGGGCTGACGGGCGAGAAGCTGCCGTGCAGGGCAGAGAGGAGAGCGTTCCACACAGAGGGAGCAGCCCTCGTCCTCTGAACAGGGAAGGAACTCGGGTGTGGCTGATCCAGTGGGAAAGAAAAGTGCTCTAAAGCTGGATATAGGCTCAGCAAGGCCTTGTCAGGCAGCAGCTTGTAAATTGTGATGGAGAACTGTGGTCAGCTTCAGAGTCCATGAGCCAGGGACATGCCTGGCTTACATTTTCAGAGGATCATTTTGGCTGTTGGGTGAGGAAAGGATTTGGGCAGGGCAGAGTAGGACGACCTATTGGAGACTCTCGGAGTAGTCGGATCAGCTGCCTTGTCTGAAGGTGGGACTGCTGGAGGTGGAGCCAGGCAGATGAGAAGCGTATTTTAAGAGTGGGTTTGGCCTGGTGATCAAGATGCTAGGTAGGTCACCTGCATCCCAGGTCCGAGCGCCTGCGTTTGAATCCCAGATGGAGCTCCCAGTTCCAGCTTCCTGCTGATCGTACCCTGAGAGGCAGTGAGTGATGATGGCTCAAATAGTCGGGTTCCTTCCACCCATATTGGAGACCTGGATTGAGTCCCTGGCTTGCCTTCTGCCCCCCAGCCATTGTGGGCATTTAGAGAGTGAACTGGTGGATAGGAACTCTTTATCTGTCTCTCAAATAAATAAATAGGTAATTGCCCCCAAGTCGCTCAGGGATTAGTGGTTTCTGGTAGCTCCAGAAGTTGCTTGCAGGTGAGATTAAAACAGGAGTCTTATTTGATAGCCCTTTTGGGAATCCCAGATTCCACAGAGCTGGATATTAGCTCTCCTCTGCCCCAGATTAAGATGGAATTTTTTTTCCAGAGGGGGAAACGCATTTCCAGGCTGAAAGGGCCCACCGAATCCCTAGCATAATGAGTTAGAAAGACTGAGGATACAGAGCTAGAAGACTGGGAATGTCCCCCACAGAAGGTGAGGAGTGAATGACCTCGCATTCTCAGGAGCAGTCTCGGAAACCCCATGGTGACTCCTCAAGAAATGGTGTCTGACCTGGTTACCAGTCAGGTGTGAAAGTGAGCATCAGCCTACCCAGGGAGGGGGAATAGACTCCCTGTGGGAAACACAGGCGTAGGAATGCTCATGCAAGCTCTCACTGTGACAGACCTGGCCAGCCTCTCCAGACTGGAGCCTTGGCTTCAAGAAAAGGATGTTGGCCGGCGCCGCGGCTCACTAGGCTAATCCTCCGCCTAGCGGCGCCGGCACATCGGGTTCTAGTCCCGGTTGGGGCGCCGGATTCTGTCCCGGTTGCCCCTCTTCCAGGCCAGCCCTCTGCTGTGGCCCGGGAGTGCAGTGGAGGATGGCCCAGGTGCTTGGGCCCTGCACCCCATGGGAGACCAGGAAAAGCACCTGGCTCCTGGCTCCTGCCATCGGATCAGCGCGGTGCGCCGGCCGCAGCGCGCCAGCCGTGGCGGCCATTGGAGGGTGAACCAACGGCAAAGGAAGACCTTTCTCTCTGTCTCTCTCTCTCACTGTCCACTCTGCCTGTCAAAAAAAAAAAAAAGAAAAAAGAAAAGAATGTTGAAAAAGAATCTAGAGTGCTTCAGGGTTCAGTGTGTTTAAAGACGATTCAGGTATTCGAGGGAGAATTTGGAGAATGAATTATTGATAAGTGCATAGCAAACTAAGCAAATGAAGAAGCAAGACTATTACTCTGGGAAAAGCAAAATGTGCAAGAAGGGAAGGGTGATAGTATGTGGCATGGCTTGCATAATATTTACTTGGCTAACTAACGTGAAACCAGAATACTGATCCAACCCACATTGGGCAGCAGACTGCATGGGGAAGATGAGAGACAGGCGGCACAGGTGTGCAGTGGCACAGGTGTGCAGTGGGAGACTAGGAGAGTGAGAGACATTCCCTGTGGCAAGTCGGTGGCCAATGCATGAATATGAAAACTAGGAAATAGCTTTATAAACTTGTTTGGCGACAGGGCTGTGAAAACTAAGCAGGTAAATGAACTGAAAGGATTTTCTCTAGGGAGTGCTGGGATGAGGTTGGCAGGGAATGGCTTGGCAATGAGGTGTATAGAGTTATTTGACTCAAGTTGCATTTCAAGTTGTTTGAAAAAAACAAACTACAGAAATGCATTACTTTCGATGGTGAATAACAAGGATGATTTTTTAATATAGGTTATTTTGGTGTATGTATTTGAAGAAATGTAAAGACACAGTATATTTTTTTTCATAGCATTTAAGGGCAAGAAGGTATACTAGAAGAGATTAATGATAGCCAGCTATAATTTATTATCTTTTAAAATTAACTTTCAGGGAACATGCATTTAGCCTGGTGTTTAGTACGCCCATGTCCCACATCAGGGCCTAGGTTCAATTCCTGGGCCCAGTCCCCTGACTCTGGCTTCCTGTCAGTACAGACTGGGAAGCAGCAGTGATGGCTCAGATAATCGTGTCCCAGTCACCCACATGGTGGGAGACCTAGACTGAGTTCCCAGCTCCTAGCTTTAGCCCTGGCCCAGCACTCAACAGTGTGTGTGTGTGTTTCTCAAAGAAAAAAAATTTAAGTTATTTTTGGGGAAAAGTGGATCACATATCGAACTGATATGTCAATCTATCCGTCAGCTAAACCATTACTGACATCTGTTATAAAGTGTCCTGCTGGATCCTATAGGGTATACAGATAAGTAGGAGGTGTACTTTGGGGTTATGTCAAGAAGTCTATAACCCAGTCAGATTCTGAGTCATAGACTTAGGAAGACTTACATGATAATCAGAATCAATCATCTAAATGGCGACATATCTGAACTAATGTTTGAACGTTTTGCAGAGAAGGTCAGTGCATGGTTGTCTTTTACGGTTTTGTTCCTAAGTATTCCTAATGATTTATGACCTTACAATCTGTATTTAGATTTTAACTTTAAAGAGTGTTTTATTTCAATTTATTTAAATCTAACCTGTTAAACCAAGGGCTAGAGATTGAACAAGAAGGGAGAAAGGGGTTGTTCTCAGATGACTATTAACCACAGTTGCATTTTTCCATCAGTCTTATTCATTCTTTGCTAAGTAATTCTTGTCCTAATTGTTTGGTTCTCTAACCATGTATATATATTTTCACAAAAGTCATCTGCTCCTGGGCCAAAGGGTCCTGAGAATCCTGGCTCCATCCCAGCCTCGCCCATGTCTCCTGGCAGAGATGGTGTCACATCCAGCTCTCTCTCTTCACTGGATCCATAGTGAAGAGGACAGAGGACTTTCAGTAGCTTCTTTTTTTTCTTTTTTTTCTTTTTTTTTTTTTTTTTGACAGGCAGAGTGGACAGTGAGAGAGAGAGACAGAGAGAAAGGTCTTCCTTTGCCGTTGGTTAACCCTCCAATGGCTACCACGGCCGGCGCACTGCGCTGATCCTAAGCCAGGAGCCAGGTACTTATCCTGGTCTCCCATGGGGTGCAGGGCCCAAGCACTTGAGCCATCCTCCACTGCCCTCCCTGGCCACAGCAGAGGGCTGGCCTGGAAGAGGGGCAACCGGGACAGAATCCGGCGCCCCGACCGGACTAGAACCCGGTGTGCCAGTTCCGCAAGGTGAGGATTAACCTAGTGAGCCGCGGCGCGGCTTTGTTTTGTTCTCTTGACAGCAGAGTGACAGTGAGAGAGAGAGACAGAGAGAAAGGTCTTCCTTTTGCCATTGGTTCACCCTCCAGTGGCCACCGCGGCCGGCGTGCTGCAGCTGGCACACCGCACTGATCCGAAGCCAGGAGCCACGTGCTTCTCCTGGTCTCCCATGGCGTGCGGGGCCCAAGTACTTGGGCCATCCTCCACTGCACTCCCTGGCCACAGCAGAGAGCTGGCCTGGAAGAGGGGCAACTGGGACAGAATCCTGTGCCCCGACTGGGACTAGAACCCGGTGTGCCAGTTCCGCAAGGTGGAGGATTAGCCTAGTGAGCCACGGTGCTGGCTTCAGTAGCTTCTAAAGAGGCCTGATTTTGTTGTTCCTTCTGGATGCTTCTGTTTCTGACTTTAAGTAAATGTAAGGCAAAAGCAGAAGCCAGCAGTGGACACCAGAGCTAAACGACCTTGGTGATCAGCAATGCCATGGAGCAGAGGGGTCTCTGTGCAGTTACATCATCAGTAAACAGGGTTTAGGTGGTGGTTGCTTTCAGACTAAAGCATTTTGGACAGTGGGGATACTGAAAAACAATGAGGAGCTTTAAATTCACCCCATAAAATGTTTAACTTTGTCAAATGAAAGGAGTATATTGTTTGAAGTGTCAATCAAGCACATTTAAAAAGCTGATTTGTCGTCAGGTATGCTAGCCTTTATAAATAGCCTTGATATCCTATTTGTGTTGGAAACATGTTACATTATTAACCTTGTTATTTTTATACAGTTACTTAGGGAAGTGGAACTTCCCTTTTTGATTCCTTGTACTGTGAGTTTATTTTTATTTATTTTTTCTTTTTGCCATTTTACAACTTTAATCAGTTCTCATCCACATAGGCTGTAGATTTTTCAAAGTGGTGACAGGTACATAGGTAACCAAAGTATAGAACTTATTT